TGTAAATACACACAATATATAGATAGATTTACTCAGACAAATACATAATGTACTATATATACACACAGTATGTATACACCTACATATTTAGTATATATTATATATGTATACACATTCATATAATCCATATATATAATTGGCCCTCTCCATATCATATCCATATATATAGTGTACAGATATGTGCAGGCAATACACTCAAAGTGTGATCAAAATATACAGTGAATGTTTAAAGTTTTAAAAACTTATTACAGTAAAAGACACATAGCAATTAATCCCCCTCAAAACACTCTCTCACTTCCAACACACTTACCCCATTGATCTTGCCACTTTCTGAAGCAGTTCTGAAAGTCCTCTTTCCTGAACGACTTTATGTGATAAAAATACTGTGAATGGTCCTCCCTTGTGCCATCTAATGGAAAATTACAATGTGCCTTGATCCACCATATTCACCGCATCTGGCATCGTGCTACTTCTGGCTCTCCCCCAAAGTCAAAATGATACGACAGGTAAACATTTTGGTTGGTTTCAGGACATTGAGGCATCCATGATAGTGCAGTTAAAGACACTCACAAAAGAGGACTTGAAAAACTGCTTCTGAAAGTGGCAAGGACAATGGGATAAGAGTGTTTGAAGCAAGGGGACTATTTTGAGGGGGATTAATGGCAATGTGCCTTTTATCGTGATAATTTTTTTTTAAGTTAAGCAATAACTTTTAAAGTTAAGTCAGTCACACCTCATACACACACATACTCAGAGCTTCAAAACAAAGATCAAGAAGATTTGTATCATTTATATCAGTATAGCTATGCCGAGCTTTGCTACATCAAAACAAAGTCTCAGGGTCCTAATGGATGAAAGTCTGTTTCCTGCCCTGCAGAGCTGCTGTGGGTTGGCAGGGTGGGCTGCCGTCCGTGTACACGAGCAGGAACCCAGGGTGCCAGACAGGTCCCTATATGGATGTCACTGGCCCCCGGGCAGAGGGAAAGGAAGCTGGAGAGAGAGTCCCACTTTGATTCTTAAAAGGTTCGGCTTGGAAGTGACCTGGCCACCAGCACTTCCAGCCCACTACCTGACTTGAAGGGCTGTCACCTCACGGCGACCTGGAGGGACTCCAGGGGGACCATGACCCCGCGTCACTGTGCTGTTATCTGCTCCCTTTGGAAGGGCTCTCGTGATGAGCTCCTTTCAGACATTGATCCTGAGGAACAGTGTGGCCATCTAGAAAAACTGGTAAACTTCTTTTTCACTGATCATGAGTGTTCGATAACCACAGAGATTCCCTATTAGTCTGAGTTAGTAAGTGGCTCACAGCAAAATGTAGTTCTCGGTTACAAGGCAGAAATCTCAGCAGTCCTCTACCTCATTATGAGAGGCTTCTTACTTCTTTTTTTTTTTTCCAGTACCAGGGATGGAACTGAGGACCTTGCACTTGTACGGCAGGCATTGGTGCCACTGAGCTTAAATTCCCGGCCCTCACTTCTTACTTCTTTAATCACGTCCTGGTTGAGTGCATGACTTTCATTATCCACTAACTCCTATCTCTTTTGAAAATTGCTGGTACTTACATTATACTTAAATAAAAATAATGGTAAATAATAGCTCTGGTCAATGAATGTTTCTTCACAATGGCCGTATGAGATATTATTATATTCGGTATTACATCGGTAGAGAAATTGGCTCAGAGAGATTAAGTGACTTCCCCAGACCACACAGGCAGCAAATAGAAACTAAATTCAGTTCTAACTGATACCAAGCACAGTATTTTACTTCTGGCATTTTCATTTCTTAGCATCACATAGAGAGATGACTCAGTTCATGTAATGTGTCATGTTCTCACCTAGCTTTTGTTTTCATTAATTAGGATTTTCTCTGATTTATCTGTAAGAAAACTGGAAATATTTGTGAGCCTAAACTGTTTGTGTTTTTCAACTGGTATAATGGCCCCTTGGAGAAATAGGTTTTATGTTTGTCTTCTAGTTGGTCTTTTTCATTTTCACTCTAACATTAAAACTTAGGACTGATATATTGATAGAGATGTATGCGGTTCTTAAGTGTACCCTTGATGAAATTTTATACCTATACGTCTGTGCCCCATGCAACCTGAGATCACCACTCAGCACCTCTGAGCCTCTCAAGGCAGTTCCTAGTCCTCCCCAGCCTCTTTTCCTCCCCAGGATATCCAAGTTCTCCCTTCTATCACCGCATGTCAGGGCCCCTATTTTTGAACTTGTGTGAATGTTATGCAGAACATGCTGTCTTGTGTCCAGCTGTTTCCATATCCTTACCTCTGTGAGATTCATCCATGATACTGCATGTAGCAAAAGTTCATATTTTGTTAATGCTGCGTAGTAGTTCATGGTACAAATATGCCCCAGTCCATTTCCTTATTCCACTACCGAATGACATTTGTGTTGCTTCCAGTTTCTGCCTCTCATGAAAAAAAATGTTTCTGTGAACATTCTTGTTGCCTGTTCGTAGACATATTCATTTCTTTTGAGATATATAGCTATATCTGTTTTTAGTTTCTTGCATATACTAGGCATCATTTAGCTTCCTTAGGTTTTGTTGGGTCACAGAAATTCCTTGAGCATAAACATATGAATTTCTACAAGTAAATAAGTGGGTTCAAACTCTGTGTTGTGAAAAACATTTATAATAAAGTTTAGCATTTAGTCTTCATAGCACTACACTGTGAATAGATGTTTCTTTTGCAAAGCTCACATCTTGGTCTGAATTCTTTTCTTTAATTTGCAAATAACAAACCCAACTCAAAGGAACTTAAGCCAAAAAGAGAATGTGATGACTCAGGTATCCAGTGTCATCCGCCCCTTGGGTATGGCTGGATCCAGGCCCTTAAACAGTGTCATCAGTACTTGCTCATTCTTTCTGTCTGACTCCTGGCTCTGCTTTCTCTTTGTTGGCATCACTCTTAGGCAAACCTTCACCTGTGACCATTGGCAACCTCAAGCTTAAGATGCCTAACTCTAAGTCCCACAGAAAGACTGAGCTGTGCTCTTCCTTCTAGCTCTGAAAAAATGCCAAGAATTGAATCTCACTGGCTCTGACTGCATGATATGCCGACCCTGTCCCCATGGCCAAAAAGAATATAATTCGGATTGGGTCCAATGTCCACACCTGGCCTGAGGGGACTGTGAGTGGGGGAGAGGGATTGTCAAGGAAACTAGGTGAAACAAGAGAAAGAAAAACAGACCTCTGCCATGCTAGACACAGGGAATTGAGTTGGCAAATACTTGGAAACCACAGGTGATGGCAGAAAGTTAATATTGCCTTTAGCTCTGATTACTCAAAAAGTCCACCTCTTGTCATTTACATAGAGATAAACTTGTAAACGTTGGCTGTGCTTTCAAAATCTTCTACTTCCTTCTTTTGAAGGCATCACTATTTATTTTATCATGCTAGCTTTAAACTGCGGACATGTTTCTCTTTCATTTCGCTTCTCATCTATTCCATATTGAGTCAGCCAGTTAATCTTATTGACTCTGCCTTTTAATTATCTACTTATTATTTTCTTCTCTATTCCCACTAATGCTACTGCAGCAGCTCCAGACTTACATTCTATCTCCCTTGAAATAAGAGCACTTTTTTTGTAAGTCTAGTTCAGGTCCAAGAGCAGCAATCCCCAACCTTTTTGGCATCAGGGATAGGTTTTGTGGAAGCTAGCTTTTCTATGGATGGGGCTTGGGGTGGGTAGAATGGTTTCAGGATGATTCAAAAGCAGTCTAGGTCTCTTACATGTGTGGTTCACAGTAGGGTTTATGCTCCTATGAGAATCTAATTCTGCCGCTGATCTGACAGAAGCAGTAATGTGAGCCACGGGGAGCCGTGTAAACAGGCGAAGCATCCTTTACTTGCCCAATCTCACCTCCTGCTCTGCGGCCTGGTCCATAACCAGTAGCAGCCTGTGGCTGGGTGTTGTGGATCTCTCTTCTAGTGGACTGCCATTAGTTATAAACCCATTCCCGAGCCACACCCTATGGCCAGGGGCAGGGCCTGATTGGCCAGGCCTGGGTCATGTGACCATCTCGGAGGTGGTCAGGAAGGCAGCCAGCCCTTCTGGCACGACCTGGACTGAGAACGGGGGCAGGGGAGGATGACAGGAAAATCATGGCATCAATGCCAAAAGAAGGGGAAATGGGCCACAGGCAGGTAAAAATAGATATACAGCACACCTGAGAAAGAAAGCCACATCGCTTCCGACTGGGATGCCTGCTGTGTCTGCAGATTAGAGCTCACGGAACTCATAAAGCCGTCTGTTCACTCTGGAGGGGCCATAGCAAACGTCTCCCTACCTGAGCCCTCTAGGCCCCACCACCTAGTCTTCCTTCGTTGCACCCATACTAACGTATGCTTGGTGCCCCTTCTCACATTGCTTTGAACCCTGGAAACACACATGCAGTAAAATTCCTCGGAAATTTCCTATTCCTTCTAATCCTTTGGTTCATTGCCTTCTTCTCCAAACAAGGCAATGTGTTGTTTAAGATGTAACTTTGGCCGCATATCTCAACACCCTCCAGCCCCCCCCCCCCCAAAAAAAACCCCAGTAGTTTAAAAAGGATTTTTAGAAGCTCATTCTGTCTTCCATAATCACCTAGTGCTGATTCGGGGGCTCTGCGCTGCGAAGTCGCCGGCAACCCAGGCTCTCTCCCACAGGGCAGAGAGTGCTGCCTTTGGATACATGGCCCGAGCTGGTGGACTGTGTCTGCGATCCAGCCCGCAGGAGGAAGAAGACTGGGAAAGGGAAGGATAACCCCTTTCTTTCGAAAGGACAACCTGGACGTTGTGTGTATTGCTTCCGCTCATATCCCCCAGCCACTCCCATTCCCAGACGTGTGTGCAAGGGAGGCTGGGAAACACTGTCTTTATTCTAGGGAGCTGTGCTCCCAGCTGTGAGAGAAGAGACCAGATGCTGCATGATAACCAGCAATTCCTGCAAGGAGACAGAGAAAAACCTGACTTTTTCTGTCCTTTTTGTTTTTCAGATTAACAAAAGGATCCTTGAGTGACTGCAAATGTAGGAAGGGTGTAACACCCTGGAGTGAAGAATCTGTACCGGCATGTCTGCCTACTACAGAAATAACAGCTACGAGAGGCACACAGATTACCCAGACTATTCAAGGTCTCAGGACCATAAGAAGGAGTATTTGAAAACTCAGGATTATCCAGACTTTCCAGGTTCTCTGAACAATCCAGACTATCCCCGCACTGGGAGCAATGCACACTCTGCAGGCTCCAGAACAAATCTAGACTTTCCTAAGTCTGTAGTGGAACAAGATTATCCTGGATCTCCAAATTCTACAGATTATCCCCACCCCAGGAATAATCCCTATTCTGAAGATTCCAAGACAAGTCCAGACTATCACAGATCTCTGCCAGAGTTTGATTATATTGAATTCCAGGGCAATCCACACCACTTGAGCTCACTCAGAGAGCCAGATTCTTCTGGATCTCTAAGAAATCCTGATTTTGCAGAGTCCAGAATCAGTGGAAACTACGCAGATGCCAGAACAAAGCTAGATCATTTTGGATCCTTGGGAGAAGCAGACTATCCTGGAGCTAAAGGCAACCCTAACCACCCTGGCCACAGAGCCAATTCTAACCATCCAGGCTCTAGAAGGAATCTAGGTTTTTCTAGTTCCAGAATCAGTCCATACACAGACTCTCTGGGACAGCCTGATTATCCAGGTGCTGAGAATCAAGCCAACTCTCTCCACTTTTTGGGGGAACCAGACTATCCTGGTGCTGCAGACCATCAGAATTCTCCAGATATTTGGGGGGAACCTGATTACCCAGGTGCTAAGGATGGTCATGGTTATAGCTCTTCTGACACCTGGAAAATGACCAGGGGGTAAGTTCAGGTATATTCCTTCATTGATGGGAACTGAGTTCTATGTTATCAAGTCAATGGAACTTAGTTCTTGTGGTTTTGATTAAGAACAGGTGTGATGGTTCAATGACTTGCCCTTGTGATGAAACTCTCAGACCTACCCATGGACTTCACGTGGGCCATAGACTCCCAGTCTGTGGTGCAAAGCCCTTACCTGAATTTAATCTTTCAATTCCTCATTTTCCCAGAGTTTCGCCCAAACCTTGTAACACATCTAGACTCTCACTACTTTTTTAAAGGTAGCGGTAGCGAGGTTTTATATTTATTAAAGGTAGGGAAAGAAATGAGCTCTGCAGAGCAAATTTAGGCCAAATAAAAGTACACTCTAGAGCAGCATGAGAGCAGACTACTGTGAAAGAACACAGTATCCTAGAGCTCAATGGCAACTGCCTTTTTGTATCTCCTGTTTCTCAGGCTGACATCAGGTCTAGGCTCAAGACTGCTTATGTTCTCACAAGAAGTCCATGTGCAGGGCTTTGGGAACTCTTCTGCATCTTGAAACTTTTTAATTAACAGGTCATGCCCACTTTCCAAACCAGCATGCCACACTTTAATCTTCTACCTCATTTTCCCCTGAAAGACACATATCCCAATAATTCTTTGGGGTGCTAAGGGAGTGGAGGTACCTGTCTTCATGGAGCTACTTCCTGCTGAAAGGGGCTATATCCCTATCTCCTGGGGATTATGTGCTTTCCAAGTACATTGGGGTATTGTGGCCAAGGATGAACTAAAATGGCTGGTAAATATGGAAGAAAGGTGGCCAGGGATGAAAAAAGTCCCTGAGAAAGCTACTCACCAATGATTCTCAGAGATAAAAGGAAATCTAGGGGGAAATCACAGATGAGACTTTGAGTACAAAAAGGAGTAAACTGGGGTAGGCATATACTCAAGCAGGAGACAAATTACCAGTAGCTAGGTTGAATAAAAAAAAAAAACCTGCCAGAAGACAGTAAGAAAAGAGTTAGTGGCTACTGAGCTGCCTGTTCAATGGGAGAAAGTTCGGTGAATTTGTCAGGAGAGTAACTTTACTATTAGATCAGAGATGTAGAGCCCAAATATGAAAAGAAGTGGGACAGATTTTCACTTTCTGTGGAGGAGAAAGTATGGCAAAGAAGTATGTTAGATAAATGATGGAGAGTCTGAGAGCTATAGCCTTAGCAAGATGATCCACATTGAAGCTGGGTGTGGTGATGCACACCTGTAATCCCAGCACTCCGGAGCCTGAGGCAGGAGGATCACAGAGAGTTCAAAGCTAACCTGAGCTGTATAGTGAGTTTAAGGACAACCTGAACTACATAACTGAACTACATACCCTGAACTGAATCAAAAAACAAACCAAAAAATTTACTCACATTATGGCTCTAATTAAAAACAGGAGTCTTGATGCAGATGCCTGTTTTAAGCGGTGGTGAATTAGGCTCATTAGTGACTCTACTTATCTCCACCTAGAGGAGTACTGGAGTCTTGCTTTTGAAAAAGGACCCTCAAATCTTCCAGAAGTACACAGGAGTAACTTGTTTTGGCAGTGGAGGTGGAGGGGGGGGGTGGTGGTCTTTGTCTTCAGATAGTTCAGATAGAGCTGGTTATATAATTGCCAGTCCTCCTGGGTTATGTCGCTCTCCTGTGTACAGGTTCTAACAAAGGAGCTGATCTGAGCTTGGCAAGGTTAGTGGGCAAGCTTCTCAGGCCTGTCTGGTGGTCTCTGCTAGTCCCAGTCCTGTGAAAATTCAAGTGATCATTTTCTATGTAGGAATTTTATAGCTTCTTATTGTGTCCCTTGAGGAAGGACCAGGGTCTTGAGGGGCTGTAAGGCTTTGCTTCTTGCCTCTCTACCAGCCATTTGATTCTCCAAAGAAACTTTAGACATGTCTCTTTGGAGTCCCTTGCAATGAATGACAGTGACCTGCTTGGGAAGATAGACTGCATCTAAGAGTTGTAGGATTTCCTGCTTTTGCTTTATAGATGATTGCTTATTAGTTAGAAAGCTCCTTTTTCCGCAAATTGCTGCATGGAGATGTAGCACTAGAAAGACGTATTTGGCTTAATATTAATGCCTGAGGGCTATGAGCTCTGGTTTTTTGTTTTTTGTTTTTTGAGCAGAGGTCCCTGAAGGAAGGGTTTGGCTTCAGTGACCTGTTTTGAACTGACAACTGCATGATCTGACTTTCAATGTCCTCCTTGGACAAAGCTGCTTCTATCAATGAACAATATCTCCTCAGGGTTTGGAGGAGCAAGTCTCTGATATCCTGTCTGTTTGCATAGGTCTGGGAAGCCATCTATTCACAACAGTGGCTAACTTCTGAGCTTGTAGGGACCAAAGAGGCAGGATTAAGAGTAGTGCAAATCTTTATAGTAACCTCAGGGGTATCCAAGAAGCATGGCTTAGCGTAGTCCCAGCAGGTAAAATCTGCTTTGGCCTTTGCTGTTTGAGAAATGCCTCCAATATTGCTAGTAAATCTCTTATTCATAAGAGAGTAGGTCACTGTGGAACAATTCAAAACTCATGGTTGAACATTTGACCTTTGAGGTAACATTTCAGAGCAGGAGTAAAGAAGCTCTGGCTAGGGTGCTCCTTGACCCCAATTATATCTAGAGGAGAGGTTTTAGAGAAAGAAGCTAAAACAGAAACCAAAGGAATTGAAATCCTCACCCATGATATCCAAGGTCACCCAGGGTTTCACACAGGAGATGGAGATGTCCCTGGATGGTACATTATAGATGTCCGTGGACTGGGCGGGCCCCTTCGGTTTTCATCAGAGTGGGAGATGAGGATTTTGGCTGGCCTAGCTCCTCTCTGGGAGTGGGGACAGTCAATCCTCCAGTGCCACGAGTCAGGTACATTGACCACCTGACACATGGAGCAGGGCCCAGGTGGTGGGTTGGTACAGTCATGTACCCAGTGTCCAATTTTTTGTAGGCCTTGATTGGCCTTGGGTTTTCCCTTGGACAACTTGGGTGTGCTTGAAGCAATAATTTTGGTCTGTCCTTTTTTTTCCCCCTCAGTCCATCTCCTTTTATCCTCATCTAGAGCCCAGTTGTTGAACACAGAAAAGGCCATGTCCAGCAATTGAGTCATTTTAAAATACTGGTCTCTCTGGGGCACTAGCCTCTAGTGGAAACAGGTGGGAAAGACCTATATCCCGGAGAGAGTCAGGTGGGGATCTGAGAACAGGATATCATCTTTTTCCTTGGGAGGCCTCTTCAAATACCGTGGTTCTTGGGCCTTTTCAGAGATTGAGAACCATAAAAGCCTGAACATAAGAGATTTTACACCACTTTCCTTGCCTTTTGCAAAAAAGACCTAAGTGAAGAGCACTACTGTAATTTAGACTGCCATTCTGTACCCATCTCTTGCTATTTCCTAGTTTATACTGGACTCACACATTACAAAGGTGGAGCCCCTAGAGCTCCAACTAGCTACCCTCAAGGTCAAGTTGCTGTCAGCTTTTAAGGATACAGCCTAATGACAAGGTGGCTGGAATCTGTAGGGTGTTTCCATGGCCTATGGAGAGACAAAACTAGGTCTGAGTCCTTAAGTCCATGCAGAAGGAGGAAACCTGTTGAGTTCATAAAACATCCCTTGTGAGATGCAAATACTTACTAAGCAGATGTCTCTGCTCCTGCTCAAAGATGGAGTGGCACTGGTGTCTTCCTGGAAGAGTTGAGACCATTTATTCCTTCCAGGTTTGTTTTTTGGGGTTTTTTTGGTACCGGGAATCGAACTCAGGTCCTTGCGCTTGCAGGGCAGGCGACGGAACCACTGAGCTAAATCCCTGGCCGAGACCATTTATTGCTTAAGAAGAACAATGGAGCCCTCTAGCTGCTGCCTTAGAAACTCCCATGAGATCAGGGTGGAGCCCCCTGCCGAGGGATTCCTTTAGCCAGTTGAGAAACACAACCACTTGAGAATAACAGCCCTCACATTTTCCTTAATAATAAAAATCTTCATACCTTGTTTTAGGCAATTGAGACAGAAGCCTCTTAAAAAAACTTTTGAAAGTTCTAAGAACCAGTATGGGTCTATTTTTGCATACTCACAGGCACTTGAGTTAAGCTTTACTGGCTGTTCCTTTGTTCCACCCAGGTTCCCAAGCACAGGTTTCTAAATTACTTGAATTTCTGTTAGGAAAAACAGGGAAAGGGTCTAACTCAATTCAAAAGAGAAAAGGGGGGAAAAAAAGAAAAGGGGAGAGGTCCATATGTTCTTCAAAACTGATGGCTTACTTAGCTCTTAGCTACAATCTTGAGATTTCTTCGTGACCATGAGTCCAGTTGAAAAAGAAAAAGAAAAACAAAAAAAATGCCAAACGAGCATAGTGGAACTATGTGGTTGACCCACATGACCAACTAAAATGGCAAAATCCATGTGGCCAAGCCACAGGATGAACCAAAATGGCCGCTGAATATGGCAGAAAGGTGGACTGGGATGAAATAAGGCCCTGAGAAAACAACTCCCTAATGATACTCAAACATAAAAGGCTACCTGGAAGAAAATCACAGATGAGACTTGGAGTACAGAAAGAAGTAAACTAGGATAGGAACCTAGTCAAGCAGGAGATAAATTAGCAAAAGCTACTTTTCCCAAAAGACTGAGGAAGTTGAGCACAGTATTGTGGAGAACAGAAACAAAAAAGCACACTAACCTCCAGGTTTGCGCACATTGACCCTGAATGGTCTGCTCTGCAACTGGGTTAATAATAGGCTTTCTGTTCCATCCCCTGTACCAAAAAAAAAAAAGGCTTTCTGGAACCTCTTTACTGATCGAAAACAGGAGAGGGGAGATACAGTGGACCCTTGAGTTACAACCGGCCTGACATATGAACAACTTGGGTTACAGCTGGAATTTTAGCTTTAACTTAAGAACAAAGTCTTGAGTTTTCAGGCAGATTTTTTTGTGTGTGTGGGTACCGGGGATTGAACTCAGGACCTTGCGCTTGCAAGGCAGGCAGCGGAACCACTGAGCTAAATCCCCGGCCCGCAAAGTCTTGAGTTTTGACTCCTTGTACTTGGACATGGTCTCAGATGCAGATTTAACTTTCAAAGAGTTCTGGAAGGAACATGACAACAGCCATTCCTGTGTGGGGTTAACTGAGAAATCCCGGGCCTGAGTCATCAGCCCAAGAAACCCTTCTGTTTGTGTCACTCCTCTGCTTTTCATCTTCCATGTATCCCCATTACCTGTGGGAGAAAGGCCACTTTGCTTCACTTACAGAGCAGTTAGGAATGAGGAGACACTGTGCTGACATCAGGTGCCACCCCAAGACAGGCCTGCTTGATGTGGCTCTCCTATTCCCTGTTCCCTCCCTGCCTCAACCATTAGTGATTCTGGACTTTGACTGATCCTTTGAATTACTTTATTACCTGGGGAATTGTAACAATAAAAATCATACAGATGTTTGGGCCCAACCTTCAGAGCTTCTGATTTAATTGTCTGGTATAGGGCCTGGGAATCAGCATATATAAAATTGAAAATCATTGCTACGGGTTAATTGATTTTGATAACATTTCCTTTATTCAATACTGTCTGGCCTCACGCCTTTATTTTGCTGTACCTAACCCTTGCAATGCCATCCCTCAACTATAAATGAATTTCCTCCAATCTCCTCTCAGATGTCTCTTAACCATGTGGATTTTCCCCAAAACTTCCAGCCAGCATTCTCTACTTCCTCTGAACACCTTGGACCCATCTTCTGATACCCATCAGCTTCTACCTGTATTTTTTTTTTTGGTACTGGGGATCGAACTCAGGTCCTTGCGCTTGTGCAGCAGGCGGCGAAACCACTGAGCTAAATCCCCGGCCCTTCTACCTGTATTATAATCACCTCTTGCTGTGTCTAAGAAGCTTTGCCTGCTGGACATGGTGGTGCATACCTGTAATCCCGGCACTTGGGAGACTGAGGCAGGTAGATTGCTGTGAGTCTGAGGCCAACCTGAGCTGCCTAGGGAGACCCTGTCTCAAAAAGAAGAAGCTATGCCAGATTGTGTTGGGAGCTTCCTGGGGGCAAATAACTTTGTCTTTATCTTTGTATCCTCACTGCCTTGCCCATGCTTAACATATGGTCGGCATTCAGCCAGCAATTGTGGGATGGATGGGAAAATGGATGGATGGGTGAATGGCTGTTCTTACCACACTACTGGGTGAATGGTGACCCATCACTTTGGGATTTTAGGGTGTTCAGCAGAACATCTTCAGTCCAGCTCTCATTTCGTTGCAGGGGTAATGGCCCCTTGGGCATCCTTGGAGGCGAGACTGAAGATTACCCTGAAAGCATTGAAATGACATCAGTGAAGATGGCAAATCCATATGGCCATTCTTTACCAGGTGCTCCTGGAAATGGCTACGGTAAGCATGTGTTAAGACGAAGATAATGTCCTGAAAAAAAAGCAAAATCCAGTGGATTTAGAGGTTAAGCAGCCATCACCATAGAAGAATTGGCCTATTGTTTCCCCTTCAAACACCTTCTTTAGGTACAAGAGGTGAGAAGTCAGGGTCTAGGGAAGCCAAGTGTAATTGGTGTTCAAAGAGGGCCAGGTAAGGCATGTGGAAAATGGGAGCCTGCATAACCTGTGTCTGCCTTAGGTGGCAGAGGTGGCCCACTATGGTTATGTGTACTCAGGGTGGTGAGATCCTGAGAGTTCTCAAAAGAAGCCAGAAAAAAAATTTTTTTTAACTTGAAATCTCCTTACTAGTCCATTTTCTGTTGTGATAACCAAATACCTGAGACTGGGTGCTCTGTAAAGAACAGAAGGCTTATTTAGTTCACAGTGCGAGATCAGGTAGCCCCATCTGTTTGGCCTCTGGTGAGACTTGACTGCATCACACCATGGCAGAGAAGCAGAAGCAGGAAGGAAAACCAGCCATGTGCAGAAGGACCAAGCACATGGGTGGTCTTGCTTTGTATCAACCCACTCTTGGGAGAGCCAACTAATCCCTTCTGAGAATAGCATCCCGATGACCTAATTGTGTTCCCTAGGCTCCACCTCTTAAAGGTCCCACCACATAAACATGGTCACAGTGGGACCAAAATCCCAGCACATGAACCCCTGGGGGGCACATCAACCTACACTCAAACTAGAGTACTTCTTGAATTTGATGTGCTCCAAAATAATTTTTAAAAATCTAAAACACCAAGTGGGTAAACAAAAATCACTTTTGGGGAGGTATAAGGACTGCTATGGCCACTTTAGTTTAGCACATCCTAAAGGTGTCCAATCGACAACTGTGTATTCACAATCTACTGGAGGCAAGGAGGAAAGGAAGCAGAACTATGCTTATGCTACTTTTCCAACTAATATAGCTAAGATTTTTCTCATTGCTCATGGTTTTTAATTATCAACTCTTTAGTCTTCGAACCAGCTTTAGTGGCTGTTAATAAACCTGTCATTTTAAACTGTGTTAGGTATCATCTTATTCTTATATGTATCAAAACTCGTGGTGGACAGTAAGCTCTGGGTTCAGAGGAGGATTTCTTTTTTGCTGTCTATAAGTCTCTGTTCACAAGTTAAACAGAAGCACATACAAGTGTTGCCTCATGTTACTTTAACTTTAAATAGGTAGGTCAAAGTGGTACGCTGAGACTAAGATGCGAGAAGTCACATCATCCTCAGAATCTATTGTGTGTAAAGGTAAGATGCCCAGCTCCAGGAGACAAAGGAAATTCTGAACAGTTCTTACCTTCCAGGAGGAAAGAGGGACTTGCTGCCTTGTTGGAGAAGCCAGTTCAAGTAGGCAAGTGCTCTACTACTGAGCTACATACCCTTCAAAATTCAAATTTTGGAAGTCTAGTTTCTATTGAATGTATATTGCTTTCCCACCATCATAAAGTGGAAAAATTGTAAGTCAAACTATTGTAATCAAAAACACTGATTGTTAAACATCTATATGTAAACCATTCATTTAGGAACCCAAATGTCAGTTGTTCAAAACTTTATCCTTACATTTCTCAGCAGACAACAATAGCAAACCCAAGAGCGAGGGAAGGGGTTGTTCTTGAAAGGCCAGAAAAAAAATCTTCCTCTTCTTATATAAAGCAGATACACCTAGAGTTCATAAATACATCTATAAAGACTCTTTTGGGAGCTGATAATGAAAAGAAAGACTGATAAATCTACCTGCCCTACCCTAGCGTAAGTGACACGAATAATACCAAGTAGGCTTTAAGTGTTTTCTATGCCCTGAGACTGCTGGACATTTTACTTTTATTAGCTTGCTTAATCTGTACAACTGCCTTCCAGGTAGGCACTGCTGCTTTGCCTTAGCAGGTGGTACAATTGAGGTTCAGAAAGAAATGTGCCCAAGGTCAACCAACGGCTAATTTGACAGAGCCAAGATTGGGGTTCAGACTCTCTGCCCCAAAGCCTGACCTTTTATTTACCCTGCATTACTGCTGAGAAAAAACAGGGCAAATGCAAACAGATTCCTTACCACCCATCTCTTCAGAATACTGGAAATCAAAGTGCTTTAGAAAAAGAAGGAATTAATTAATTAATTAATTAATTGTGCCTTCCTTCTCTGAGCTCCTTTGTAGAGCAAATGTAGTAGCCCTTAGCAGTCACTGACCTGGTGTCCCCCCATTCTGACAAACTGTTCGCTCCTTAGAAGAACTCATTTTCATCTGTGCATCCCCCAGGGCTTTAGGTGATTTTCCCAGTTTCCAGTGCCTGGTTCATAGTAGATGTATGAGCACTGCCTTAATAACGTCCATACTGTCTTAATAGCATCCATACAAGTTGTATCGGTTTGTTCATGCTGCATGAATGCTGCATAACAAACAATTCCCCAAAGCCTGAGTCATATAATAAGCAACCGTTTATTTCCCACTCACACATCTGCAGGATTCTTCGGGTTTTGGCTGCATCAGGCTGAGTTTGGCTGTTCTTGGCTCCAAATCATGGCTTCTGTTTGGGTCTAGTGTCCTTCTTGCACCAGCGAGCTACCTGGAGGGTAAAATAGCAAGCAGAAACTCACAAGGTCTTTAATAGCTTTGTCTTGGAATGGGGACCCTCACTTCTGCTGTTACATTGGTAAAAGCAAGTCATGTCATCAACCCCAACATTAATAAAGATAGCCAACATGGAGGAGGTGCAATATTTGCTGAATAACAGTTAATCTCCCATAATAGTTAATATAGAAATTAAGAGCTGATGACATTCCAGTATTATTTTATTATTTTACATATATTCAATTCCCCAAACAATCCTATGTGAAAATCATATTATTATCCCTATTTTAAAACCTCAGAGATGTTAAGTAACATTCCTAGGGACAAACAGGGCTGGGAATTATGCCCAGGCAAGAAATTCCAGAACCTTTAGTAATTTAATTTTACACACTGGCCCCATCAAAATGTGCTCCATTTTCTCTGTTGTGGAGTTTACCTTTAATGTTTACCATGGATTGAATATAAATATATTGAACTGTGACGCAGTCATGTAGATGCTTAAAGTAGACTCTGTCCCTAAGGCAGTCATGCCATATTTTAAGTTTGTTCATGTGTCATCATAACAGGCTAGAGCTGGAAGCAACCTTTGTATTCATCTACACAAGTACTTTTCAAACTCTGAATTGTGACTTATTAACAAGTTGTGAAATGAACTTCTTAAACTGAAATAGAATTTTCCGAAAACAAGATGAAATTAAAAATAAAGTGAAATACAAAAGAGTGAAATAGGGTAAGAATATATCATAGTGAAGTTTCTATAGTTCAAAGTATTGTTTTGTGAAACTTATTTTTAAGTTAAATAAGTATAGCTGTGTCCTGTATCTCAAGGTAAGAATCATTTTTTTAAATCATGACTTATAGTCAAATGAAAATCATCGATCCAGGTTGGTAATACTTAATGGCATTGTTTTTGATATTTGTTCTGTTTTCCAAGGTCTTGATCCTGGATCTGTTAGAACCTTAAAGTCAAGGTCTTGGTGTTAGTAACCATTACTAACCATTATGTGCTCCCTGATATCTAGGGTCATAAGACTGATTTGCAGTGTCTCTTTCCTCTTCATTCCAGTGAACCCTGCTTTTGTGGGTGAAAATAGCCATGGCAATGGAAACCTACTATTGTCCAAATGTGATTGGCACAAGTCACCCCAAGGTAAGGCTTAATGGACTGTGATCCTAAAACCAGCCCGAGGGAAGGAACACATTCAAGGCAACCCAGATATTGCCGTATTCTCTTGGCACCCGGTGTTGTATTGGATGCAGCTTTGTTTAATTTATCATAATGGAGCCTTTTCTTTCTTTTCCCTCCTTTCCTCCCTCCCTCCTTCCCTTCGTTCCTTTCTTTCTTCCCCCCTTTTTGGTGCTGGGAAATGAATCCATGGCCTTGTACATGCTAAGCACTGGCTCTTACCACTGATATACACCCCCAGCTCTTGGAGTTTTATTTCAAATATGTAGTTTTTCTCTTGTAGGTAGCAAGGTGACTTCCTTAGGAATCTTTCAGCTGCAAGTGACAGAAACTCAATTCAAATGGGCATTAGCCCAAGGGCATTAATTGCTTCATTTGGTGGGAAGGATATGGGAGAAACTTAAAGAACCTAAAATAGCCGGGTGTGGTGGCTTACACCTGTAGTTCCAGCCCTCGGAAGGCTGAGGCAGGAGGGTCACTACCAGTATGAGGGCCAGCCTGGGCTACATAGTGAGTTCAAGGCCAACTTGAACTACATAGTGAGACTCTGTCTCAGATAAAGAACCTAAAATAAACTGCTTCCAGCTCCTCATACAGTAACCTGCATGTGGTAGGCATTTTAGAGATATTTGTTGGATTAAGTTGTTAAATGAGTTAGAGAAATCGGGGCCTAAGACTCTGAAGTGAGGGTTCAGTACCACCTGCATTTCTTTGTTTTCCATCCATTTCTCAACTCTGCTTGACTCAGCTTCTCTATAAACTTGACCTTCTCCATCTGGATCAGAGTCAGGCCATCAGCCCCACATAGAAACGAGTCAGTTGGCTACCTCCTTGAAAGGCCTTCCCTTCTGCCTGATCTGTCCATCGGTGCCAGGGAAAGACTCTGACCAGTCTATTTGGAGCATAAGCACCTGCACCATTCATTTTTACTGTAGAAGACAAGATTGACTTTAACTATCAGGGAGAGGAAATGGCTTTAGCCTTCATAAGACCACCCTATCCAGCCAGCATGAAGCTTGAGATGAGAGTCCCCCCAAAGGAGGGAGAAGTAATGAAATAGAGGAGCTGGCTTTCTTTGCTGTTTTGTCTTACATTGGTTTTTATTTTCAAACCACGTACAACTAATTGATGGGTAATTTCACGATAAAGTGTCACTTTAAAAGATTTTGCCATGCTCCAAGAAGCCCCTCACACATAGTAGGCACTCATAAATATTTATTTGTTTATAATTGAATGAATGAGACATCAGCATCTTGTTTCAGGAAGGGGCCACAGTGAAGTACTTCATCTGCTTTGGGTTCAGACCTGGGTTTGACTCCTAGCTCTGCTACTTGCTGATTGTGTGACCTTGGGAAAATCACTTTGTTGAGCCTCAGTTTTCTTAGCTATAAAATGGGATTGATGGGGCTGGGTATTTAGATCAGTGGTGCCGCTGCCTGCCATGCAAGCCCAAGATGCTGAGTTCGATCCCCCCCCCCAAAGAAAGGATTGATTATAGTACCTACTTCATAGGGTGATTGTGAGAAGAAAATGATACACTCTTTTTAAGGTGTTGGTCTGAAGTAATGGTAGGTCTTGTTACTGCTAGTTATCGTTGCTGTGAGGAGTACATGAGTTCTAGTCCAATCCTGCCATTTACTGGGGTGTGATGAGGGAAAGAAGGTGTCAGTTCATGTCTCTGCTCCTTTGTTTCTCCAACTATTAAATAAATAATATGATGCCTAAGTCAGGTTTATTGGACAGGAATTGTGTTCAGGTGCCTAATGCTGAAACAGAGCAATAGCTTTGCAATATTCTGATGTATTTGTCTCATGTAACAAGAAGAGTGGAGGGAAGAAGTCCAAAGCTTACATCCACTCTTCCCATGATGCCCTCGAGGGCCAAGGTTCCTGGTATCTTTCTCCACCATTCTCAGTAGGTGAATGTCCGTCCTCTTGTTTTCAAAATGGCTGTTTCTGAGATGAAAATGGAGGAATGGTGAGAGACAAAAGGTGAATCCAAGCAACTATCTCCTTTTAAAGAGCATACCTGAAAGCCACTTGTTTCATTGACTAAAACTGGGTCACCTGTCTACCCTTATCTGTAAAGAAAGCTGGGAAAATCTTAAACTGAGTCTAGTGACCACCTAAGAAATTCGGTTTCTACTGGTATAGGGAAAAAAGAATCAATGTTAGGAGGTAGACAGATAGCAGTGTCTACCATCTGGGATGACCCAAGGATGACAATTGAAATACTATAAACTCACCTGGACTTTTACAGGCATGTGAAATTATAAATTCTAAGTTAGAAGTGTTAAATTAAAAAAGAAAATCTTGCCATTCGACTATCAGTCATTTAGAGCTTCTGTCTTCTTTTCTAGAATCCCATTGTCTTCAATAAGGATTCTGTTTTTAATTTCTTACTTAGCTACCAGGACAGAATTCTCTACAGGAAAATACATCTCCTCCTGAGAAGACTCCTCAGGGGACAGCTTCGGGGAAGTTAGGCTATGATTTTTGTGGAGCTGGCTGTGGTGATCTCATCCTGGCATTGAAAAAATGTGAATGGAGCATCCTTGTATCATTATCATCACTTGTCCTGCAGTGGGTCCCGGTGCGATAATGGCGGTGTAACTACCTGTGAGGTCTTTGAAGACCCTACAGGTGGAAAATAAGGCTTCTAGGAGACTAGAGATGATGTCAGATAACCGAGTGCATGAAATCATCATAGAGCTTGAGAATGTTCCTTCTGGGATCCAAAACCATCCCTCCCCAACTCAGATTATGCGAGACAAACCATTGGCAAATTCAGCCTTCAGCATGGTTTCATCCACGTCTGATATCCATGTGACAGACTCTCTGATTTTCAGCCACAGGAATGACAAAAAGCACAACCAGTTGTTAGAATTTTCAACATCTTTGAAAGAACCGATTTCGCAGACCCTTCGTAGCCCAGAGTGCCTGGGTATAGACACTGCTTGTACTTTCCATGAAACTGTTCAAGGTATAAAACTGGGGAAAAGTTAGGGCAGTAACAGAGAAGGCTTCTGAGTTGTCCACGGGATCTTTGTTGTTGTTTGTGAGCTACATCCCTGGCCCTTTTAAAAAACTTAGTTTTAAAATTTTGAAATGTCTCACTAGGTAAGTCACTAAGTTGCCCTAACAGGGAACTCACAACCCTTCTCTCAGAGTGCTGCGATTACAGATGTGCACTACCAACCATCACTTGTCCACTGAATTTTTTATTTTTAAGACATCAAGGAATGTTGAGGAGCTAGCAGATGAAGTAAAGACATTGGGAATGTAGGGAGGGATCACTCTGAGACCGCACTACTAATGAGAGCTGACCTTGATTCGTTTATTTCCTTTCTGTTAACCATCAAGTTTAGATTTATTTATTTCCCACACTCTGCACCTTTAGGCAGGCACTTCCATTTGCTTAATGAGGAAACTGAGGCTCAGAGAAATTCAATGACTTGGCAGATGTGGGACTAAATGCAGATCTGCCTGACGGCCAAGCCCGAGTCCTTAACCATCATGCTGTCCTACTTTGGTCCAATCCTTCCCCACTGTGGTTTCTAGGAATATAGTAGGACACCTCTTCCTGCCAAGTTCATCAAGAAACGAGATCTTCGCTGAGAATCCCCGGCCCGTCTGCTCCTGAGGTCAACAAAACTGCTATTTCTGTTTCACTCCTTAGCACTCCAGGCATAAAGTCTACTAATTCTCAGTGGTTTCTGGGAGAAGAAAATCCACTCACACTAAAGCATTTGGTGGGTTTTGCCCCTTACTGAAAATTGGCATTGCTGCTCACACTGCTGTCTCCCTGCATTGCTGTGTTTTCCTTTTTCTTCCCTTCTCTTTGCTTCCTCTCTCCTTAGTTGAGAGACAAATCAGTCTCTTTCTCTCTCTCTGTTCTTCCTTCCCTTCCTCCTCCTTTCTCTCTCTCTTTCTTCAGTGGTACTCGGGATTGAACCCAGGGCCTCAGCACTGAACTACATCTACAAGCCTGTTTTTGTTTGGTTTTGTTTTTTTAATACGGAGACAGGGCCTCACTAAGTCACTAAGTTGCCCAGCCTGGACTCGAACTTGCAGTCTTCCTGCCTCAGCTGACTGGAGTGCTGAGATTACAGGCATGTGTCTCTGCACCCAACTAAGGAAAATTTCATCTTTGGCACAGTGACTTGGTGGTCCTCATTTGGGGATTCCTCCTGCACCTCAGTGAACATGGTATGTCCTTGTGAGGAGTTCTGGCTCAGCGATGAGAGCAAGTAGCCCTGTCCTTCAGACATCCCCAGCCCTTCACTGCCCCAGCTGGCCTCCCTCATGGGTGAGAGCAGCTCCAGGTGTCACACAGAGCCGCAACATCATCCAGAGGAAGAAGAACCTGTTGTTTCATTTTGTTTTGTTTTTTGTGTGTGTGCATGCAGTGCTGGATGGAGCCCAGGGCCTTGTGCCTGCTAGGCAAGTCCTCTACCATTGAGCTACACCACAGTCCCATTTTGTGGGGTTTTTTGTTCTTCTGTTTTGAGAAGGAAGAAAGCCTTTTCCAAGAGACTTCTCTGAAGACCATCACTTGGAAAACATTGCTTTGCCTAGACACCTTCAAGGAGGACCTGACCATCAGGATTGTCTTAGATTCATTGGGACATTGTGCCTGGGGATGGGCCTGCCCTGAGGAAGCTTGGGAGGGAAGCGGGGTAGATTCCCAAGCACAGTTCTGCTGTTTACAAGGAAGAATGACTTTGGCATAGGTGAGCAACAGGGTCTGCCAGCCACATTGGCCAAAAATATGAATATGAGTTAGCAGGAGAAGAGGGATGTGGAAGAGTATATTACAGCAGTCAGTCAGAGAATAAGTCACTTGGCCTAGAGCTCAAGGGGAAAAGGAAGCAATGTGGGAAATTAAAGTCAGAGAGAAAAGGCCTGGCGTGTACAAAGGCACCCTGTTGACTTTGCTGAAAGGAATTTATTTATTTATTTATTTATTTGCCACAGGTAAAAGAGAAACACTGAATTGCAACAGAGCAAAAATTTTGTCCTTTGCTTTAGCTTTGTACTTTAACACACATATGTCTTCTTCTTGTTTTCACTTGTGATGTTTGGAATCCCTAGGTCCGTATATTCTTCTGTCCTTGTACTCTTATAAAAACATGCTCTGATTTCAATGCCATATTTTTAAATGTTATAACTCTGTTAAAGATGAAGAAATTAAACTCCATTTATTTTCTTTTGCAGGGCAAAAGTTAATCACATCCTTGATACCCATGACATCTAGAGAGAGGATTAAAACCATCAGGAACCAGCCAAGGACCATGGAGGAGAAAAGAAAGCTTAGGTACAAACCAAAGATTTTCTTCTCTCTCAGATTTCATGTGAACCTCAAACTTTTATTCTTACCCCATCTCAGAAAGATAAATAAATAAATGCAAGAAAACAAACAACTCTTCCTTATAGAAGAACTCCAAATAACCTACATAGATGTTTATGTACCATTGTTAGTTTCTTAGTTTTGACAAACTTAACACTGAAAAAATAAGATGTAATCAGAGAAACTGTAGAGTGGCATATGGGAACTCTGTAGTGCCTTTAGTAGTTGTCACTGTAAAGTTCAGACAACTCTACAATTTAAAAAGTTTACTTAAAAAAAAGAAAAGGGAGACCTATGAGCTTTCCAAGCCCAGAAATTCAAAGAGAGATGAGGGTTGTTTTGGCTTTTAGACTTCACATTTATTTCTCCTAAAAAAATTTTTTGGAGGTGCTGGCAGGGAGCTTGGGACCTCCAGAACCTTGGGTATGCACAGCAGGTGCTGTACCAATGAGCTAGACCTCCAGCCCCTCTTTTCTTTTTTTGTAACTCATAATTATTGGCAACCACAGCTACTAATAAATAATCCAGCAATCCAGTTTTTCAGAGGCAGACTTTGAGTTGCAAAGGTACAATTTCAAAGCCTGTCAGAGGAGGAGATCGATTTGTCAACAAGTAACTTAGAAATGGCTGAAAGAAAATCAGGCCAAATCAAGGAAGGCGAGGGTGCAGTTGGAGAACTAGGAAGCAGGGACACAGTTTGCTGGGGCTGAAAGGGGCGTTTGAGACACACCTTTAAAGAGGGTGGTGTGGGGATGAACGACTGAGGAGGACTGAAGGGAGCCAGGAAGAATAAGAGTTTGTGCAGTCTGGGGAAGGGCAAGGAGAACAACTGTGATTGTGGCTGTCTCAAAATACTCTTCTGTTTCAAGCTCCACGTGGTCCCTGTGTCACAGAGTAGGGGCCAGAAGACCTTGCTTGGGACTGCTCGGCCTCGGTGCAGCTGGCATTCTGGGGCTGCACCGTTCTTGGTTGGGGCTCTTGCCTGTTCCTTGTAGGGGGTTTAGCAGCATCCCCGGCCTCTACCTTGTAGCTGTCAGAAGCATCTCTCTCCCCAGCCTCATTCCCAGTTCAACCAGAAAGTGCCTGGACATTGCCATTTGCCCCACCCCCGGGGTCAGAATCACCCCAGTTTGAGAAGCACTGATGCTCGGGGACAGCCCCACCACGTCCACATTCACCTTCTCCTCCTGTTCCTCTGCTCCATCCATTCCAGCCACGCTGGCTCCTTGCCTTTCTGCCCGTTTGAGGCTCTATGCTCTGTCCTCTGTGGGATTTTCCTTCCTCTGTACGACTAAACCCTCCTCTCCCTCAATAGCAGGATGCCTTGCTGTAACACTGTTTCAAGGGTCCCGAGCCAGTGTTTCCCATCTCTTTACCCCCCTCTGTATACTGTAGTGCAAATCACTTTCTCATATTTCACAGAGTTTACTTCTTTTATTATTGTGTTTATTGGCAATTATCTTTCTCTTCCAACTAGAATGTCAGCCCCACCAGCCAGGGAATGTGGTCTCTTTTGCTTACTACCTGGGACCCTGGCTGATCGATAGTGGGCGCTCAGTAGCTATTATTCAAATGAATGAATAACAGTGTTGGTGTCTCACTTCTTCCTGCCTATCCCCCCAGGAACATAGTTGACAAAGAGAAAAGTAAACAGTCCCATCACACACTCCAGCTCAAGTGTTGTGCTCAGTATCTGAACTCCATTTCTCGGGTAAGTCAGACTCTTTCTTTAAATTTTATTTTTTGATTAACATGGAATAATTACACATATTAGTGGACTATAGTGTGATAGTTGAATACATGCATACAGGGTACGCGGATTGGGTCAGGGTAGCATTTCCCTACCCTTATTGTGACTTTTTTTTTGGTGGTACTAGGGGTTGAATACAGAGTCTCTTCACACCCCCAGCCCTTTTTTTAAATTTTTTAAAATTTTGATACAGGGTCTCATTCAGTTGGTAGGGCTTGTGTTTATAATCCTCCTGCCTCAGCCTCCCAGAGTCCTGGGATTATCAGCATGTGCCACTGTAAGACCGAGGGCCTTACCAAATGCTCTGAGGAGCTGACTATAGTGAAGCACACCCAGGAATCCCAGTGGTGCCTTCAGAATGTAAGACTGAGAGCCTTACCAAACACTCTGAGGAGCTGACTGCAGCAAAGAACACCCGGGAAGGAACACACCGGACAAGTTGGAAAGTGAAACAGACCTTTATTAGTCTGGCCAGACGGCACTCCCAAAGCAAAATAGCTTAGAGAGGCAACTGGCTCAGAGTCCGAGGCTGTTTTATAGGGGGTTGAGGGGGAGGTTAACATGTAGAATTAAAGAAAAGGGGACAAAGGTTAGTGGTCGACTGTCACGTATTGATGGTCAGCAGACATTTGCAGTTTGTTTTATAGATTGTGGTCGGGCAAACAAGGAGTTGAGTAGTTTACTCTGGGACTTCAGGTCTGTTACAGATTTTTATCTAGTGTCCCAAAACTAACAAGCATCTTTATCCATCAACTCACATTTAATCACAATGGGGCTGGAGAAAAGGAACAAAGGTTACGGAGTCCCACACCACCATGCTTGGCCACGTCTTTTACTTCTCCTCCCCTTCTCCCCTCCTCCCCTTTCTTTCTTTTGCTTTTTGGGTTTTGGGGGTTTTTTTTGGTACCAGGGATCGAACTCCAGTCCTTGCGCTCGCGCAGCAGGCGGCAAAACCACTGAGCTAAATGCTCGGCCCTTCCTCCCCTTGCTTTCTGGAGCTGAGGATGGAACCCCACGGCCTTGCACACACTCAGCGTACACTCGCCATCACTCTCCTATCTCGGATCCCTAGGATCTTCTCTCTTCTAGATCTTCATAAAGTACTTGACGGGTTATTGTGAACTCTCCTCACCCCAACGAATTGCAAAACACCAGCACTTAGCGTCTTATTTATGTTTTGTTACCTATTATTTAACCTCCTTTTATTCTTCCTCTCCCAAACCCTTCTAAACATCTTGTAATCACTAGTCAACATTTAGACAAATTTATTTGCACTCCCACGAATGAAAGAATACTGTGTTTGGCTTATTTAACTTACCATAATGTCCTCTAGTTTCATCCGTTTTACATGTGACAGGATTTTGTTCTTTATGACCATATAATATTCATATATATATATATATATGCACCACTTCTTTATCCATTCATCCATGGACCCCTAGGTTGATTCTAGACGTTAGATATTGTGAACAGTGCCTCCGTAAGCATGGGCCTGCAGAAATCTCTTTGGTATACCAGTCTCACTTCCTTTCCATGTATACCCAGAAGTGGCTTGGCTGGGTCAGGTAATAATTCCATATTTAGGGTTTTGAGGACCCTCCGTAGTGGGTGTACTAGTTTATATCCCCACATGAAAAAAAGCCCAGCAAGCAGGTAAAAACAAGAAGTGCAGAGAGTGAGGACGGAAGGGGTCAGAGGAGAAGAAAAATGAAAATCTAGGGCTATTTCCTACCCAGAGCCATCAGGTCACTATGGGTGTGGGGGCAGGATGGGCTGTGGAAAGGTCTAGGAGGACGCAGAGTCAGTTGGGCAGCCTGACAGTGAGAGTGACACCTTCTTCAACAGCACACCAGGGAGGGCCAAGGTAGCAGAACCGTAGAGGGTGGCCGTGAGAATGAAAAGAGCTTAGACTTGTAAACACACGGCTCGCGGTGCGTGCTCAGGAGATCCCTGTTGAACGACTATCAAACCACCGCCTCTGCTTTCCAACTCCAGGGCTATCGGAGATCCAAGAACAGTCTTTCCGACCTCCTCAGTTCCATCAGCTTGTGGCAGAAGGCGCTCAAGGTCATCGGAGGCAAGTTTGGAACCAGTGTCCTCTCCTATTTCAACTTCCTGAGGTGGCTTTTGAAGTTCAACATCTTCTCCTTCGCCTTGAACTTTAGCTTCATCATAATCCCTCAGCTTACTGTGGCTGAAAGGAACACCCTCCAGTTCACCGGGTTGGAATTTCTCACCGGGGCGGTGAGTTCGCCACCTGGGAGACCCAGGGAGGTCCCTTGTGGTCACCCACCCACGCCCCTCATTTTGCCTGGAGGTCGACAGATGGGGAAAGTGGGTGTTTAAAGCATTTCCCTTTCCCCCAAGTAACGCAAACGTGACATTGTGGGATTTCTGCCCCCAGAGCTAGCCGACGGTAACAATTTTCCACAGTCCTCTTTTACGCACACTTGTGAACACATCTTCATGTTTGCACAGGCAGCCCTTTCCTTTATGTCCTCATGAGAGGTGAATTATTCATTATATGTTATCTATGGTTTGGTCTCTTTCATCTAATGATAGTGGACAGCGTCTCATGCTGGAGACCTATGTTTCTTTTTTATTTCTATAAAACACAGTGCTCCTTGGGGAAATTTCTACCATCAAAAAGAACTAAGAAAACATCCACTTTACCTCTCTCCTTGTCGAACATCCCAGCTTAGGTTATACCTTTGGAGACTGCTTTTTTCTCCCCATGCAAACACCAATGGAGCTATCAGTGTCATAGATACATGAATAATGATTCTTTTAAAAATGAAAGGAAAACCAGGCATGGTGGCACACACCTGTAACCCCAGCACCCCGGGGGGACTGAGGGAGTGGGGTCAAAAGTTTGAGCCCAATCTGGGCAACTGGGTGACTTAGCAAGACTCTGTTTCAAAATAAAAAATAAGAATGGGATGGTGATGTAGCTCAGTCCAAAGGCCCTGAGTTCAATCCCCAGTACTGGGGTGAGAGAAAGAGAGAGAGAAAGGGAGAGAAGGAAAGAGCAAGAGTGAGAAAAAGAGAGAGTGAAGGAGAAAGGGGGAAGGGAGAGGGAGAAGAGGGAGGAGAGAGGAGGAGGGCTGAGGTGGGAGCTCAGGGGCAGAGCACACGCCTAGCACCAGTGAGGCCCTGGGTTCCGTCCCCAGCACTGCAAATAAATAAATATTCAAATTAAAAGAAGCATAGGATTATATGACTGCATGGCTGTGTCTTGCACCTTCTTTTTGCCTTACTATATATCACAAACATTTTTAGAAACCTACACAATTCTTTTTAGCAATAACCATGATTTATTTACCCAGCTCCCTACTGAAGCATCTAACCCTTGTCTAGAGAGTTGACCTGAAAGGCATTTCTGCCACTGAGAGTCTGCAGAGCAGGGATGGCTAAGCTTAGCCCTGGAGCCAAATCTAGCCTGCCAGCTTTTTGTGTGAATTTAAGATGGGTTTTTACATTTATAAATTATTGAAAAGGAATCCAAAAGGAAAAAGGTTTTATGAAACAAGAAAATGTTAAGAAATTCAAATGTTGGTGTCCGTAGAGTTGCTTTGGAACATGTCACACCCATTTTGCTTACTTCTTATCTCTGCTGTTTTTATGCTAGGGTGAGGGTGAGTACCTGTCAAACCAGTTCAGAAAACGGAAGCTGTATACTGTCTAGCTCTTTACAGAAAGCAGTTTCTGATCCCTGCATTAGAACGTCCAAAGTAAAGTTCTCCTACTTGCCTTTTTTCCCATTAAAAGATCTGCCTTCCGTGCTTGCTTCGGCAGCACATATACTAAAAAGATCTTCCTTCCGAGAGATGCCGTAAAATGGAATTATTGTATACACTTCTCCTTCATTTTATTCCTTCTCCTTCAAATACCATGTACATTTGTATATAGGAAAAATTATTAGGAAATACTTCAAAGCATACAGGAAAATAAAGAGTATAATAAACACCCATATATCCACTAGGTAAATTAAAATTTCCTTATCTGTTTTATTTTATTGTTTCTGGAAGCATTTTAAAGTAAATTATATCAGGATATTTCACTCTGAAATGCTTCAATATGCTGAAAAATAAGGACGTGTTTCTACAGTTACAATACCTTGTCGCACAAACTAAAGTTAATATTATCAAAAAATCTCGATATTCAAAATTTCCCCAAAATGTCATTGATCACTTGCTTGGTCAGCCAGAATCCTATCAGAGACCGGACTTTGCATTCTGTTGTGTGTGATTTTTCCTTTAGATTTTTATTAGTCAAGAATAACCTTCCCAACTCCAGCCTTCCCCCGTTCTTCTTTTTTGGCATTAGCTTATTACAGAAACTAGAGACCCCAGTGCCCTCCCTTCTGGAATGATCTGATTATTTCCATGTGGTCTGTCTACTTTGTTTCTCTGTTCGTTCTTTTCTGTAGACTGGAAGGCTTCATTTGTTTCCTATTAAACACGCGTGGTCATAATCATGAGTAGTTGACAGATGCACCTAACATCTGGCTGTCTTGCTTTTGGTGATCTTTTGCTTGGTCGTTGAGTCCAGGTGGTAATGGCTGGGTCCCTGCATTGTCAGTCTTGTTGGTTTGGGATCCTTTCAACTCTGGGAGCCGAGTGATGAAACTGCGATGCTCCTCAGTGGTCTCAGGAGCCCCTTTTCTGATAAACTACAGTTGGTCCTCTGATTCCACATATTCTGACTTGTTGGATTTGATTAACCACAGGTTAAAAGTATATGAAAAAATGTATCTGCACTAAACATGAACAGATTTTTCTTGTTATGCCCTACACCATACAGCTATTTACATTGTATTAGATATTGTATATAGAGATGATTTAAAGTATATGAAAGATGTGGGCAGGCTATGTGCAAAGACTCTGCCACTTTCCATAAGGGACTTAACCATCTGCAGCTTTGGTATCTGTAGGGGTCCTGGGACTGCTCTTCCTTGGATATCAAGGGATCACTGTGAATGTCTACACTGATTGGCCCAAGCTTCCTGCAGGCAGAAGAGGTCAACTGTGTGGACCACACTCATTCACCTTTCCCACAAGAGATCCACCTGACTTGGATCTCTTTATTGTCTTCTGCAGGGTTATTTTACGAAAACAGTGATGTACTATGGCTTTTACACCAATTCTACAATCAGGCATCGGAGCAGCGGGCCATCCTATGACATGCAGCTGGCCTATATCTTCACAATCGGAGCATGGCTGATTGCCTGCTTCTTCAGTTTGCTTTACAGGTACAGAGCATCTGCATGCCCTAATTTGAGGCTTGAGATTTAGGCAAAATCCAAGAAACTCAAAAATTATCTCCAAGTAACAACTTCTCTGCAGTATGGACTTTCTGCGGCTGCCTAATGATTCCTTGTCCTACAAAATAAAATATGAGTGCAGCAGAGAAAGAGAGGTTGTTGTGTGCCTCGGAAGCAATGGGTCAGTGTGAAAAGAAAGATGGGTGATTCCAGCAAGGAGTAGTCTGGACAAACGTCAGAGAGGAGGTGCAGATTGGAAATATACACTGAATATGTGTTCAATCTCTATACTCATTTGCTAGGTGTGCTGTAGCAAAATACAGTGGTACCTCAATTCATGAACTTAATTATCTCCATAATTCTGGTCTTAAACTGAACTGGATGAGAACCGAATCAAATTTCTCTATAATGACAACATTGAACCTAACCATTGAATTTGATTTGGTTCTCATCCAACTCAGTTTGTGGCCAGAATTATGGAAAGAATCAATTCATGAATCAAGGTACCACTGTACCACAGCCTGGGTAGCTTAAGCAAGAGATTTATTTCACAGTTCTGGAGGCCAGAAGTTCAAGACCAAGAATCAGTAGGGTTGATTTCTTTCAAGGACCTCTCTCCTTGGTTTGAAGGTGGCTATTGCTATAGTTTGCATTGGGAATGTCCCCCTGTGGTGCATGTACTAAAGGTTGAGCCCAGCTTGGCACTACTGGGAGCTGGTGGAAACTTGAAGAGGTGGAGCCTGGTGAGAGGTCATCAGCTGGGAGTGAGCCCTTAAATGGATTGTGGGACAAGGCAAGGGAATGGATTCCTCCCTGCATCCTCAGAAGGAGCATAGCCTTGCTTTTGAGACCCATTTGTTGACTTCTGACTTCCAGAAGTACAAAATAATGACTTTGTGTTTTTTTAAGCTACTAAGCTGGTAATTTGTTATAGCAGCCACAGGAAATGAACACAACTCTCATAATATCTCTGGGAGGTGGATGTTGGTATTATCCTTGTTACACAGGTGTGGAAACTGAGGGTTAGAATGGTCAATGGGACAAGAATCCCACCAGTGTCAAATCTAGGATTGGATTACAGGATAGACCTGTCTGTCCCAAAACTTGACCTTTAGGTTTGTACTCACGCTGTTGTGGGTGAAGATCTTAAGGTTCCATGTCTGGCGCTGGCTCTCACTCTGAATGGTAGGACTGTCCTTTGGCTAATCCCTGTGCTCCCCATGCCTGTCCTGTAACCTTTGGCTGTTTGGGTTTCTTCCTTCCCTAGCATGGCCAAGTATTTCCGGAACAGCTTCATTAACCCTCACATTTACTCCAGAGGGATCGCTAAATTTATCTTCTGCTGGGACTTCACTGTCACTCACGAAAAAGCTGTGAAGCTCAAGCAGAAGAATCTCAGCACGGAGATAAGGGTAAAGCGAGCTCATCCCACCCAGTGCCTTCCCATGGCTCTTCTCCTTCCCTCCTCCTCTATGTCTGTCACTGCTTAAAGTAAAGAGAATTACCTTTTTATTGCCTGTGAGATTGTGAAAAACAAAAAAAAAGGTAAATATTCATAATACCCCTTGACCTCTTGCTAGGATGGTGTAGGGAAATGGGCATTTTCACGTGACTTTGAAGCTTTCTAAATCGCTGCAAATTTCCTGGAGGCCAATTTAGCAGTTTATGTCAAAATATTAAAATGCATATTTTTCTTGGTCCCAGCATTCCATTCCAGGTTTATAATTTTATCCTAGAGCAGTGTTTTTCCAGCTACATCAGTTTTGCTTCTCGGGGACATTTGGCAAGGTCTGGAGACTTCTTTTGTTGCTACAGTTAGGATGAGTGTGCTACTGGCCTCCAGCTGGAAGGGGCCATGGATGCTGCTAAGCAGCCTACAAGGAGCAGGATGGCCCCCTGGTGCAGAATGATCCAGCCCAAGTGGCAGTAGTATGGAGGTTGAGTAGTCTGGTCCATAGAAACAAACTTATTAAAAAACGAAAGAACAGGCAGAATTTGCTAAGAAGGACTTTGCCAAAAAAAAAAAAAAAAAAAAAGTCACAGCTATTGACTTCTCCCTCTGAGTGGTCCCAGCCTCATTTGTTAAGAAAGAGCCCATGACCTCAACATGCTTTCCTCAACAACAGGGTCCCGTTCTGTTACTTCTGCCTGCTCCTCGGAGATGGGGATGAGTTTGATGTAGATACGGTGTTGCTTGGTTATTTTGAGATTCTCCCACAGTCCACATCCATCGTGAACTTTCCCCTTCCTCTCACCTATGAATCTGGGCTGGGGATCTTCGATGACAGAGGAGAGAGACCAACTTGACTTTGTTGCATTTGCAGGAGAACCTGTCAGAGATCCTCCAGGAGAATGTCAAGTTCACATTCCGCCAGCAGCTGGCCTGCTTTTCTGCTCACGTAGCGGCCTGGCTTGTCTCAGCGGGAGTGGCTGCCGCCTGCTGTGTAGCCGTGTATTACCTGGCTGAGTACAACTCCGAGGTAATCAGACAGGCAGGAACACCAGGGTGCCGGATGGAGAACCAGGTGAAGAGATGACCTGATGGAGGGGGGCAGGGATGCAGAGTCCACTGCTCCAGCCAGGGTCTGTGGCCAGCAGCAGGAAGTCCCTTGGCCCAGGGACTCAGAATCTGCACCTAAGCAAAGGCCCCAGGTGATGTGAACACTTGTTATAGGGCAAGGGGCTCTGGGCTGGTGGGGAGATGGGAATTTGTGCCACAGACCTGAGATCACATTCTCAGTTTTTTCTTTATTGTTCTGCTCCTCATGCTGCTCACTGTGCCTGGCGTAGAGTGGGTACTCAGTAAGTCTGGTGAGCCAGTGAACTCTGGCAAATGATACAATCTTTCTAAGCCCCAGCCAGGAGTGGTCCTACCTGGCTTTGTAAGTGGTGTAGTCAGGATGAGAGAAAAGCTGGGCTCTGGGACTAATTAGCCAGGTCACTATGGCCCAATACTGTTTTTCTGAAGGCTTCAGACTACACTACTCGGCTAATTCTATCCACTTTTCCAGCCTACAGAATTGGAGTCCAGGTTGGTCTGATTATGTCACTTTTCCTTAATGGCTTCCCATTACTCTCAATATAAAATCTAGGGCTAGGATGGCAGCCCAGTGATAGAGCATATGCCTAGCATGCAAGAGGCCCTGGATTGGAGCCCCACTCCCACCCAAAACACTCAAACTATCCTCCACAGTGTGATTCATAGATATTTTAGGACCTGACCTCAGCCCACATCTCTAGCTCCACCCCATCCCCCACTACCTATATCCCACACTAACAAGGCTCCGTGATTATGGTCACAGGTTCTTTGAACATATTACGCCTTTCTTTTTATTCCAAGATAGGAAACTCTTGCACACTCTTAACTCCCTTCATCTGGAAAACTCCTACCCTTCCTCTAGACCTTACCATGGGTGTCACCTCCTCCAGGGGGCCTTCCCTCGCCGTCCCTGCCGCCTCTCCTAGGCTGAGTTGAATGTGTGTGACTCTACAGGCTGATTCTGTGCCACTTGTCACACCTGGCATTAAAGGTGCCTGCTTGTGAGTCTGTTTCTCCCCAGCACCTGACTTAATACCTGGTACAGATAGGAGCTAGCAAATGGATGAAGAAGTGAGAAGCCAGCAAAAACATGAACGTGCAGTTGGCTGTGGTAGTGCACACCTGTGATTCCTTTTCTCTGGGAGGCTGAGGTACAGGGAGGACCATAATTTGAGTGCAGTCTGTGCAGAGGCCCCAAGTTCAATACTCAGTACCACACACACACAGGATGTGGGACTATACAACACGGAGGGTTTGCCACTGACCCTATTAAGATCTTCCCTGAAAGAGGGGAAATTAAGTTACAATCCTCGTTGGGCTGGCATTGCTCACTAGGGTGGAAGCTGTGACCAGGCAGCTGCAGGTGGAAAGAAGATTTCTGACTTTCTCTTTTGCCCTGAAGTGAAGGGGGCAGCTAAGAAGAGAGAATGCCGAGGTGGAGTCCTTCCTGTTTGAGCATCTGCCTGGTGCCAGGCGGTATCAACCTGTCACACACCTCTAGTGGCCACCGATCACTGGTGACTCCTACTTCATGTGAATGGTGCTGTCATTTAGCAGCCCTGGGGCCAGACTTTGCCTTATTTGATCTCATTGAATTTTTGCAGTGTGTCTGCGTGTTAGGTGACGATCTCCCCGTTGTACAGATGTGGAAAGGCAGGGAGATGCCAAGCACCATCCCCCCATTCAGCCTGTATGTGTGTGTGTGTGTGGGGGGGCAGCATTAGAAGCAGGTTAACCTGGCTCCAAAGACATTGCCAGAGTGCCAGGGTTGCTTTTGAACCATCTAGGGGCATATGGAGTCACAGACCGGCCTCAGGAGGAGAAAATGGGATTGTGAGGCATCAGATAAACCTGCTCCCCATCTTATCCAAGACCTGTGGGAAGGGCACCTGGCCAAGGATAGCTCAGGTTGTGCCCGGAACCATTGCCAGAGCCTGAGTCCCCCTGGAGGAAGGGCGCCACACACAGATGCAGCGTGGGATAGCAGGGGTGCCCTGTCCCCCAGTTCAGTTCTAGGGAAAATGAACAAGGTCACACAGGAGAGGAGGAAAACTTCCACGGGGATGAATGCCTTCGCACTGTGGTTTCAGTAGGCCCAGGTCTCTGAATTCGGTGAGGCAGGTAGAGTCCCAGAATGGCTGTTTGAGCTCAGATGCATCTACATTCAGATCTCCCACTTCCTTGCAGAGTGACTCGAGGCAAGTGTCTTTCCTCTCTGAGTCTCCATGTGCTTGGGACAGGTTAAGTGCTAAAGAAGTGGTAGTTTAGTAGTGAAGCCCACAGGTGCTGCCCCTGGGCCGTTCCCATGATGTGGCTCTTCTGAGTGAGGCAGAGAGGGTGCAGGGCACTGTAGGCAGCTTGGTTCTCTCCTCCATCCTTACAGTTCCTGAGAACACACAGGGACCCTGGGGCGGTGCTGTTACTGCCTTTTGTGGTGTCCTGCATCAACCTGATTGTGCCGCGCTTCTACTCCATGTTCGGGCTGGTGGAGAGGTACGAGATGCCCCGGCACGAAGTCTACACCCTCCTGATCCGGTAGGTGTGTCTGCCACACCCAGCAGCGGCTCCATTTCCACAGAGTTAGAGGAGTCCCATTCAAATATTGAAGTTTAGCTGGGTGTGGTAGCGCATGCCTGTAATCCCAGCACCTGGGAGGCTGAGGCAGGAGAATCGCTGGGAGTTCAAGGCCAGCCTGAGCTACTTAGTGAGTTCAAGGCCAGCCTGCACTACTTAGCAAGACCCTGTTTCAAAACAAAACGAAACAAAACAATCAAAGTACCATGCTCCAGAAGGAAGCAATTCCAAGTGGAAAATGTGGTGTGGGTTAATAGCCATAAAAGAACTCTAGGAAGATACTCTTGCACAGTACAAGTGCCTTTTGCCCAAAGTAACAGCTTACCTTTACCAATGGCTGATAAACATAGTTCTCAAGGATAACATGGACAGTTAGACAGGCAGTGCACTGCGCCAAGGCTCCTAGTTGAAGAGCTGTGTGAGGGCTGAAATTAGCCGTTGTCAAACAGTGGTTCCACTACTGAAACAGAGGTGAGAGGAGTACTTTTGGCAGTTCACTGGTTCAGAGTAGGTGCCTTTGGGTGGCTCCCACAAAGGCATCCTGTGTGCTAGAGGTGACCCTGGGGTTTTGATAAACAAAGGCTAAAACTACCCAAATTTTGTCCTCCTAGCTTTTTCCTGGCCAGTCCCCGATCGGTTAGTTCCTGGCTGTGACAATAAGCCTGCACGGTGCAGAGTGAGTGTCTTCCCTGCCAGTTGCCAAGTGTGGTTCTTACCTTGGCCCGTGAGCGCTGGCTTATGGCCGGCTCTCCGGCCCCATTTCTTACCTCTTTCTTCCTTGGTCCCCACCCTGTCCCTCACAGCCTCCTAGGAGCTCACACACGTGCCAAGCTCTGCACCCACCTCTGGGCCTTTGCCCTGGGTGCTCTTTCTGACCGGAAGCTCTTCCTACAGAGAGCCTCATGGCTCATTCCTGGTTTTATCTTGGCTTCTGCTTAAATATCGTCCTCTAAGAGAGCTACTCCCTGGCCACCCTATTAAAAATGACAGCTCCTCACTGCCCTTTCGCCCCTGCATCACCATTTTCTTACCACTCCTTAGCATATTTTATCGATTGATATCTTCCTCCCCCGTAGTTGATGGGAGAAATCTTTGCCTTGCTCACAATGGCTAGGTTTTAATAGATGCTCAAGAATAATGGGGACATGAATGAGTGAGTAAATGAATCCATCAGTCTGTCAATTCTATCTGACTCATTGTGAAAACCCAACCACAGGCGATTCCTTACCCTTCTTACTCCTTTACATCCCACGCCCTGGGCCAAGGCATCATTTTCTTAGGTATGTATCATGGTCACCCCAAAACTTTGCACATTGGGTAAAATGGGCATGAAATATCATCTACCTGATGGTAGTGTGTAAAGATTAAGGGGAGTGACTCATTAAAGTACTCAGCGGAGTATCTTGGGTCAGCACCAGTGAATGTTAGGAACAGAACATTTACTATTATTTTCGTGGGAAATTGAAATCAGATAGTTTGTAGACACAACAAAAGAGAGTGTATCAGTCAGATAAATTAAGTGATGCTGCAGTAACAAAAAGAAACCCCCAACTCTGAGTGGCTTGGAACCCAGCAGTTTCTTTCTTGTCCATGCTACGTGTGCGTTATGGATTTGCAGGAGGGTTCTGGTCCCATTCATCAGAGAGGAGCCCGATCATTAGGAGCAGTGCCCATCTCGGATATTGCTGGCGGCCATTCCATGGGGGAGACAGGGAGTTCCAGAGGGTCTCGAATTGCATTTGGAGCTCTGGTGTAGAAGTGACATGCATCACTTACCTTCACAATTCTAGAACTAGCCACATGGCCCCATCCAGCCACTGGAGGTTGGTGAGGGGCAGAGACTTCTGTCCTATCATGTGCCCAAGAGGAATCATCTTGAGAAAGCATAAGAGACTGCCATGGAGGGTAATGATCATAATTTTCTTCTCTTCTGCTGTTCAGAAACATCTTTTTGAAAATATCAGTCATTGGAATCCTCTGTTACTCTTGGCTCAACATTGTGGCGCTATCTGATGAAGAGGTGAGAGGTCCACACCGTTTGGCCCTAAGTTTCGTTTTGTAGTCCTTGCTCCTAGGGGTATGCAGGCTTCTTGATGGCCATCACGCCCTATTTGTACTAACCTCTTCGGAGGAGAAGGAGCAGCTGGGGTAGACGGCTGCATAAGGCAGGGGGCCTCAGTGAGAGATTCAGGTCCTAGACCCAGGCAGACCTGGCTTGAAAACCCAGCTGTCTTCTGCGGTCACCTTAGGTTCATTTTTGTCATCTGTAAAAATGGGAATGAAATAGTATCACACGTGGTATAAGTACAAGGCCCAGTTTAAAGTGGGTATGGAACAGGTTTTACTAATTTTGATGCTAATCTGTTCTAAGAGACTTGGGTTTCTGAATAAGATCTGTTTTGATCCTCCCTATTCCGTTGTTTTTTTTCCTGAAACTTAGACACCCTGGGCTTTACCATTCTTCAGTGCTACCAGTTCTCTAAGTGCTGCCAGTAACAATTATGTCCTAATCCTGGTCTTTCCTGGCTCTGCCTTACTCAGCCACACCTTTTAGTTTCCCCTCACCTCTGAGGCAGAGCATCTGAACTCCCACTCTGAGAATGGTGTCCCATGTGAATTCAGGAACAAGCCAACCTCTGTGGCCTCCTCACTGGGATGCCTCTCCTGCTGCTGCTGGGGTCCCCATGAGATTTGGGCCCTACATCCTATTCCATCCTGAGCCCTTGGTTGTCTGGGATGCCTGGGTTTGGAAGCAGAGTCAGGGAAGCAGGCGCTTCTCTCCAACTATCACCTTTTGTTCCTGGACCAAAATAATCCTGCTGTTTCCAGATTCATGAACATGGCACCCTTACCTTCTCAGTGTTATTGTCAAATAAGTTTAAAACCTGTCTTCCAGGTTAGCCTGTTTAGAGAAGATACCATGTTATACCTCCATCCATTCACCCACTCTCCCATCCATTGATCCATCCATCCATCCATTTCTCATCTAGCAACCTCTATCCATCCATCTGCATGTCCATCTATCCATCAATCCATCCATTTATTCACCTGTCATCTATCAGCCCACCCCATCCATCCATCCACTCATCTATCTATCCATCCATCTATGTATTTTATCTGTCATCTATCCACCTGCCCCATTTATCCATCCATCCATCCATCCATCCATCCATCCATCCTCGGGTTATGCACCAAAAACTTCCCTCTCCTCCAACCAATCCCAAACTCTCCCAGTCTATCAGTTCATAGTTCTTCCTGCAGAGATTACTGAACACCAGTTTCATAAACCAACTAAGTCACATTTCCAGTTTACATTAGCCTGCTAAACCTCCAGTTCACTTTCTTAATCAAGCACACACTGATTAATTTTTCATAAAGCCAATCAGCAAAAAGAGGGGAGTGTTATAAACCACCAATCCCTCCTGCTGTCCTGAAGAAACTGATCAGCCCAGGCTGTGGGTGGTAGTGCATACCTGTAATCTCAGCACTCAGGAGGCTGAGGCAAGAAGAAGATCACTGTGAGTTCAAGGCCAGCCTGGGCTATGTAGTGAGTTCAAGGCCAGCCTGAACTACATAGCAAGACCTATTCTCAAAAAAAAAAAAAAGGCTGAGTATCCCTGGCTAAGAAATGGTGGGGGTAGGGTGAATTTGGAGACCTGTGGTGGGTAAAACAGCATATGGAGGCAGGAACAGAACAGACGTGAACTGAGCAGGGGCAGCGGCCCACCACATCCTGTCTCTTGTCTGCCTTCCAGTGCTGGGAAACCTTCATTGGCCAGGAGATCTACCGGCTCCTTCTGATGGATTTTGTGTTTTCTTTGGCTGATTCCTTCCTGGGAGAATTTTTGAGGAGGTAAATATTTGTTGGCCATGAATATTTTCTCCTATGCTGTAACCACATCCTGATTCCCAACTGAGCACCAGGTAGGGGTGGATCTCTTATGTACTCAACTTGTGTGTTATTATAATCTGTCCACTGTCCTTTGGGATATTGTTCTCTTCTAAATGAACTAAAATTTCACCTTAACCTGACAGCCTTGTTGTCACAGTTTATTGGGTTCAGTTGAACCATTATAACCTTCTCTTGAAGAAAACACACATACACTCACACACACACACGCACACACACACACACACACACTCTCTCTTTCTCTCCAATTAAAATAGAAATTTAGCCACTTAAAATCTTATCCACTGTAGATAATTTTAATATTCTAGGATTATATATTTTATTTATTTATTTTTTTATTTTTTGGTACCGGGGATCGAACTCGAGTCCTTGCGCTTGTGCAGCAGGTGGCGAAACCACTGAGCTAAATCCTCAGCCATATATATTTTAAAATATATTATATTAAATAATTTTCAAAAATAAAAAATGGGATCACCCATCTGGGCCTGGCTGTGCACACCTGTAGTCCCAGCACTCTGGGAGCTGAGGCAGGAGGAGGATTTCAAGTTTGGCTCTAGCCTGAGCACCTGTCTAAGTCACTGTCCTCATCATTGGGACAAAATAGCAAAACCTGCAACTAAAAGGGGGAGAAGTTTACTCCGAGACTTTTCAGAAGTCTCAGTCCTTGTGTTGTTGGTAGCGTGGTGGAAGAGCCGGCACGGAAAAGCCGCCCACATCGTGGCGGTCGGGAAGCAGCGAAGAGCGGGCCGGGGAGGGAGAGGCAGCTGTCCAGCCACGTTCCTGGTGGGCAGACCCCACCTTCTCTCTCTCTGCAAGTCAGCTCTGTGGCCCCCGTGAGTCAGCCGCCTCCCCAAAGCCCTGCCTGGGAGCACATGAGGCCTTTGGGGCTGAGAGATTCCTGATCTAAAACCATAACAGCAGGGCTGGGGATTTAGCTCAGTGGCTCCACCGCCTGCTCCGCAAGGGCAAGGACCCGAGTTGGATCCCCAGTACCAAAAGAAAACCAAAACCAAAAAAACGCCGATACAAATAAAACCATGACAGCAACTTAGCAATTTCACGAGACCATGTTGTAAAAGAAAGACAATTTTTAAGTCATTCTGCAGGCTCTGTGATGATTTTTGTTTGTGCGGAGCGTGGGCTTTTTTTTTTTTAATGGATGGGATTTTTGTTTGCAGGAAAATCCCTGTAGAGTTTGCTTTCATTAAGCTAGCTATGCATTGGCCTCTTTCCATGTTTGTACATCTAGATTTACCTCATTTTAATCTAATGTATATATGTATGTATGTATTTATCTATGAAAGAAGCTGGACTTGAACTCAGTATGTAGCCCAGGCTGGCCTCAAACTCATGATGATTCTCCTGCCTCAGCCTTGAGAGAACTGGGATTTCAAGAGTATGCCACTACGCCTGGCTTCTAATTTTTTTTTTTTTTTTTGTATTGGGGATCGAACTCAGGTTCTTGCGCTTGCACAGCAGGCAGCGAAACCACTGAGCAAAATCCCCGGCCCTAATTTTTTTTTTTTTTTAACATCAGGTATATGGACTTGAGGCACTAATATCATTGATCCCTTTTTTTTTTTTTGCCTTGCTGGGCATAAAACTCAAGGTGTCGTGCATACTAGGCAAGCCCTTTACCACTGAGCTATACCTCAGCCATGTGTGGTTCTTTTTTATTCACTCATTCATTCATTTTTAAATGAGATGACAAGCATTTCTGTGCTTCCAGATATTCTCATGGCTCTGGAAGCTCCTGCCAAAGTAAGGGGATGGCATGACACCGTGCTGGGTTTTTTCTCAGTGAGCAGATTGGATGTTGGCTTCCCTCACTCAGTTCTGCCCAAACCCGCTTTTACTCAAGCCTCTGCCCAGGGCCTGGCATAAACATGAGAGGATTGATTGATTTGTTTGTTTGTTTTTGACAGAAATTTATTATTGGGAACTTCTCTGTCTGAAGAAGTCAATGTAGTCTCAAATTTCCCCAGAGTAAATGGAGAGCTTGGCTCCCTCCTTGCAGATTTAGGGAACAAGGAAAAATCATTAATTTGGCTGCAGTTACCATAAATTTACAATTTTGTTTTATCTGGTTGAGGTTGTAGCTCAGTGGTAGAATGTGTGCTTAGTATGTGCAAGACCCTGGGTTTAATCCCCAGGACCAAGAAACAAGTTTTTTTTGTTTATTTGGGTTGGAAGGTTCTCTGTTTATCTGGTTCGTAAAAAAGAGTTTGATAAGCACAGAGTGGTACAAACAAGGTAATAATTGGGATAATTAAATAGTTAAAGTAACATGTTCTCTAGAATTATTTATAAATTACTTTAGCAGTTCTCCACTTAACTACACTGTACTAATTGCATCTCCCCCTCAATTCTGTCAGTTATTTTTCACATGCATACTTATGTATTTGGAACTTTTCAGACATTTGCAAGGGAGCTTACAACTTTATTCTAAACTGGGGAAGGGCTTCATTGTTGTTTGATGTTTTGTGGATGTGTGTTACTGGGATTGAACCCAGGACCTTTCACTTAGTTACATCCCCACCCCTTTTTTATTTTTATTTTTAATTTTGAGACAGGGTCTTGCTAATTTTCCCAGACTGGGCTGGAATTTTCAATCTCCGGTGTCAGCCTCCTGAAGTGCTAGGATTACAGGCGCGCACCACCATGCCCAGCTTTATGGAGCCTCTTTTTTTTTTTTTTTGCTATCGGGGATCCAACTCAGGACCTTGCACTTGCTAGGCAGGCGCCAGAACCACTGAGCTAAATCCCCGGCCCAATGTGGAGCCTCTTTTGAAGGAGGCAGTTGTGGTTTGGGTGCTAAACTTAGTACATTTTTACAGGATCATTGGGATGCGATTCATCACAAGTCTGGGCTTACAGGAGTTTGACATTGCCAGGAATGTTCTAGAACTGATCTATGCACAAACTCTGGTGTGGTAAGTTTTACAGCTCTGTGAGACTCCCCAGTCAGCTCCTACCTGACTTAGAATTTTGGTGGCAAGGTCTCAATCTGTTGTTTTAAAGCTGATACCGAACCCAGCTAGTCTGAGAGCCGTAAGTTTTGCTTGTAGACTTTGCTTTTCCTTTATGAAACCATGAGGGCTTCAGATATGAATCGGCATAGAGCAGGTCCCAAACTGGAGGCCCACAGGCTGTCTGTATGTAGTGCATAGATATGATTCGTTTGTCCCACACAGTGCCATTTCTAAAACTTTGAACCACCCCTTGCCGTGGTGTGCTCCCAATGTTGTGACCCTCTAAAATTCCTATGTTGAAATCTTATTGACACTGTGAGGACAGCAAGAAAGGCACTATGGCAAAGCAGGAAACAGCCTTCACCAGACACTGAACCTACCAATACTTGATCATGGACTTCTCAGCTTCCAGAACTGTGAGAAATAAGTTTCTGTTGTTCCCAGACTGACCAGTTTATGGTATTTTGAATATCAGTATGAGTGAACTAAGACAACCACCAATATTAAAAAATCGGGAAATTCCATATAGGATCTAAATGCCTGGCTGCTCTCCAGAAGGATCTGGCCCCTCTCCTATCATGGTAACATTCGGGGGGGCTTTGAAGGTGAGGATCTCCCATTTGCCTGTCTCCACCTTGATCTCTCGTCTCCCCAGCACTGAGTTGCCATTTCTCATTGCTGTATGCTGGCAGTGTAAAACTTTACTTTGCATCTATAGCTCAACAGAAATATGAGAATAAAGAAAAGGAAAGAGAGGACTGGGTGTTTCTTATACCTAACCTGGCCTGCTATGCCAGTGTACCACCAAGTGAGGTCTCTGTGGCCTTGGGGAATCACCACTTCTATTCTAGCAACTATGTGTGTGCATGTGTGTGTGTACTGAGAAAACCAGCTAATTGAATCATGCATCAATTGTTGTGTTATTGTTGTTGTTGTTGTTCTAGGGACCAAACTTTTGGTTCTAGGATCTTGGGCATGCTAAGTGCTCTACCACTGAGCTACACTCCTAGCCCCTTGCATCCATGTTTGTATATATCCTCATCTAGAAACTAGAATTCAATAGCCAGTGAGTCTTTTTCCTTATTTATCTTAACACAATGGAGTTAATGCCAGAATTCTGTGTGATGCATCACATGCCCAGTTCCAGTTGCTGACTGAGAGCAATGCAGTTAGGGTTGGATAACCTGGCTTTTAGGGTTAGCTTTTCCAGTCACTGTGGGCCCTGAGCTTCTCTGAGCTTCAGTTTCTTCATTGGTAAAATGCACATAAAAATAACTGTAGTTGATAATAACAAGTAGTGTTGCGGATTAAATGGATTATGGGCAAAATGGCTTTGGCATTCCAACATACCATGCAACTGGAAATTTTATATTTTCTGACTTTTTAATAGAGTTTCCTGGGTAATCTGGCTGTCTGCAGATAACTCACTCATGTCAATGGATTCATTTTAGAGATAGAGAGGGCTTTTCTTTCTCTTTTAGGTGATATATTTGTACACTTCCAGGTCACTCACTGGCAATTTGACAGCTTAAAAAGACCTGCCACCCACTATTTCAACCAACAGGATGCCTATGGGAAAGTTCAAAGGTAGAGAGAATAGTACCTACTTCACTGGTGTTTAGAGTAGATTAAGTGAGAAGATATATGTACTTAAATATTCAGTGAAGAAAATAAAAACAAAAATTAAAAAATGCTCAGTGAGTCCCTGACTCAGAGCTGTTTTATAAGTGGGGACACTATGACCATTGTTATCCTGTGGGCCTTTGCACTAAGCTACATACCCAACTCTTTTTAAAAAAATTTTTCTATTTTGAGACAGGGTTTCACTAAGTCACTAAATTGCCCAGGCTGGGCTCAAACTTTTAATCCTCTTGCCTCAACTTCCCAGAGTGCTGGAATTATAGTCATACACCACCATGCCCAGCTGATTTTTTTGTGGTTTTTTTTCTTTTACTCAAATACATTTTTACAGAAGTCTTTATTTTATGATTATAAATGTAAAACCATTTAACAGAAATCACAAGTAATTGGAAAAATAAAAGCAATCCTGTCCTACATGGTCCTTGTATTCTATCTAGGTACTGCTCTCTACTAATCCTCTCAATTATGACTTTAGAAACTTTCTAGGAAAGCAGGGGGCTGGCAAGAGTTGAGTTAAACCATTTTAGCACAAAACTGAGAGTCCCCTCTTTGGCCCTCAGAAACATCACAGAGAGCTGGAAAGTGAAGCCCTACTCATCTGTAACTTGGGGTACTTTCTCTCCTCCTCCCTGCAGGGTCTCAGACCTTCCATAATGCCTTAGCACACCCTGAAGGCCATGGTGGTTTAGTGGCTGCGTGGGAGTCCCTGCAACATCTCCCAGCAGTTGGACACCGGGGCTGGGGGAACTGGTTAGGTCAGCTGTGAGGCAAACAGTCTCCCTGTGTGTTCGTCTGTCGGGGCTGCCAGAACAACGTACCAGTCTGGGCACCTTAAGCCACAGAAGCTTGTCCTAGCAGTTCTGGAGGCCAGAAGTCCAAGATCAAGGTGCCGCAGGGTTGGTTTCTTCTCAGGGCGGAGAGGGAAGGATCAGTCGAAGACCTCCCTCCTTGGCTAATCGGTAGCTGTCTTCTCCCTGTGTCTTCGTGGGTCATCCCTCGTGGGAGTTTGCCCCCACCTTCTCTCCTTCTAGGGATACCAATCTTGTCGGACTAGGGTCCACCACAAGAACATCGTCTGTCTTAATCACCACTGTAGAGACCCTGTCTCCAAATACAGCCATGGTCTGGAGAACCACGAGATAGGGTTTCACCGTATGACTTTTAGGGGGACACAACTCGACCCTCTCTCCCTTCCCTCTACCCTCCCCATCTGTCCTGACTCCTCATGTCTCCCCTGGTCTCTGACACTCATCATCTTTTGCTCACAGGATTGGGATCTTCTTCTGCCCTCTGCTGCCCTTAATCCAAATGATTACTCTCTTCATCATGTTTTATGTCAAATACGTGAGTCAGTCCCAAATTGGGACCTGTCAGCTTCTCTCAGTCTCATAGGACCTGGTGGTGGTTGGAGGGGCATTGGGAAGGGACCCAGAAACCAGCACCTGGTGCTTCCCTCTGGGTGTTCCTCTGGCCACACATGGGAGGAGACCGTGTTTCTCCCCTCAGATCAGCCTGATGAGGAACTTCCAGCCTCCGAGCAAAGCCTGGAGGGCCTCCCAGATGATCACGGTCTTCATCTTCTTGCTCTTCTTCCCCTCCTTCACGGGAGTGCTGTGCACCCTGGCCATCACCGTCTGGAGGTAGGACATGACTGCCTTTAGAGACTGGGTGGGTTTGTTTAAAATGTGGGCTTTGATAAATGTAGGTATGGTAAGGCCAACTGATGGGAGGCAAGTACTGTTGAAACCATAGTTTGTTACTCACAGTTCCCAAGGGCAGGGGACACCGTGCCATGCAGGGCCACCCAGGGAAGCACCAGCATTGGTCAGGAGGCAGAGGGAGGGAGGGGAAATGTTGACAAGAGCCTTCATTTGGTTTCCTTGATAAGGAACAGGAATGACGGGGTAGACTTAGGGTTTGGTAGGTTGAATAATTTCAGCAGGCTCTGGGGTCTCGGCTGTCCTGAGTTGGCTGGTACCTGGCCTTGGGGGGACTGGGGCAGGGGAAGAGTGGCTGAGGATGTAGCTTAGTACAAAGGTCCTGGGTTCAATCCCCAGTAACACCCAACAACACCACCACACACACACAGATTCTCGAGTACTACGTCGGAGTTCCACGCCAGAGATTTTTTTCCTGTTCCTTGCTTTTCCAGATTGAAGCCTTCAGCTAACTGCGGTCCCTTCCGAGGTGTGCCTCTCTTCATTCAGTCCATCTACCTTTGGATCGACACCCTTCGTAAGAGGTCTGGCTACACGTGGGTGGTCTGGATCTATCAGAACCTCATCAGCAGTGTGCACTTCTTTTTCATCCTCACTATCATCGTGTTGTAAGTGGGGTGCCTTGGGAAACTCGTGGGGGAAGTGCAGAGCTCTTGGGGAGACCCGCCCTGGACGTAAGATGAGGGCAGATCTGGGGACATTTGGCTGGAAAGCGAAGGGCGACAACCAAGCTTTGTGTTCAAGGTGGTCCTGACTCAGCCGGGCGTGGTGGTGCTGTAATCCCAGCACTTGGGAGGCTGAGGCATGAGGATCACTTTGAGTTCAAGGCCAGCTGGAACTACATAGCGAGCCCCTGTCCCCAACCCCCCAAAAAGACAGTCCTGACTCTCTCGCTAGATATATTTTTAAAAAATTATTTAATATCGGGCCAAGGATTTAGCTCAGTGGTTCCGCCGCTTGCCTCATAAGCGCAAGGTTCCAGTTTGATCCCTGGTACCAAAAAAAAATTATTTAATATTGTCAGAGGTTTTTTTTTTCCATGATCTACAGAGAAAGTAATACCTACTTTGCCCTTTTAAGAGATGACATGAGAACAAAATGAAAAACTGGACATGACAATACTTAGGAAAATTGTATATATAATTTCCTTCTGACACTTCGACATTTGAAAAGGGCTTGGGCATTCCTGATATATAGAATATTGTGCTTTTATAGTTTGAAAGATCCATTTCTGGCTTCTTGAGGAAATGTAGATTTCCAACACTGGGGCATTTTCCTGCGTGGGACAATTGGCTGGTGGACTTACAGCAGTCTCTGTTGAGATATCACCCCTAGGGGCATTCAGGATGGCAACTCCTAATCAGAAGGATGCAGTCCAAAAGCACAGAGTACGGGAACCAATTGGTGTAGATGGTAGAGCAGTCTGTCCACATGCAGACAGGAGTGATAAGACTTACAGTGAAGGTGTGATTTGCAGAAACAAGTTCCAGGCTTCCCAGCCTGGTAGGGAAAGAAGAGGGCAGAACCCGGGTCTCCCCCCCCCCCCCGACGCTGTGCCCTCCTCCACTCCACCAGCTGCCATTGGCTCCTGGGAATGGTGAGCTCTCCAGCTGCTTTGCTTCTTCAGACTTCTAATTCACTAGGTCTGTGCTGTTTTCATGCAGGCTTCTGATACCAAATGTTGGGATGGGGTAGGGTTTGTCTTCACATCAATCCATTCTCCAATTCTCTGGATACCAACTGGGTGTCCTCAAATTTCATTCAATTCTGGGACTCCACTTGCAGTTAGTGTGGGACCCTACAAGTTAAAGGCTCAATCCTGCTTCAGATGCTAGTCCCAAGTCCCACATTGTCACTTGTACTTCTCCCTGCCTGGCTATGAATTTGAGGGTTCCCACAACCTCTTCCTCAGGTTGGATAAAATGACTCACAGGACTTGGAAGGCAGTTTACTATTACCAGTTGGTTATAGAGAATCCAACTCAGGAAAAAGTCAAAGGGAAGAGATGCCTAGGGCAAGGTAGATGGAGGGGTGGTGTGCAGCTTCCATGCCCACTCCTAGGTAGGCATGATTGATCAAATCATTGGCTGCTGGGGTTTCACTCAGTTTCCAGCCTTTGTGTCCTGCCCCTGGTCATGAGGGGCAGGGACAGAAAGGTCCAACCCTTTAATCATGTTCTGGTCTTTCTGGTGCTAGCCCTATCCTAAAGCCACCTATTGATTCCCAGCCACCATAAATCTCAGTCTCATTTGAAAGACTCTCTAGAGATTCCAAGAATTTTAGGAGCTGTGTGCCAGGGACAAAGAAGAAATATATACTGGGAGCTTGTTGGAAATGCAGAATCACAGGCTCTACCCCTGAACTATTAAATCAGAATATGCATTGCAGCAAATTCCCAAGAAATGTGTGCCACTTGAAGTTTTTGTTTGTTCATTTGTTTTGTTTTGAAACAGGGTCTTGCTGTGTAGTTCAGGCTGGCCTTGAACTCACTATGTAGCCCAGGCTGGACTTGAACTTGCAGTGATCCTCCTACTTGACGTTTGAATAGCTCTGTCCACATTCACAACTTGAGCTGCATATTAGGATTATGAGCATTTTTAAAATGCTGGGGCAGGGATTCAGCTCAGTGGCACCACACCTGCCTTGCAAGTGCAAGATCCTGAGTTCGATCCCAGGTACCAGAAAAAAACCCAAAAACCAAAACAAAAAACCCCTCTGATGTCTGGCCCCATGCCCAGATATTCATTGACCAGAGAGGGGGCCCTTACATCACCTCCTTGTGATCCATGTGGATGTTGAGAACCATTACTCTAACCAGCAACTCACCCTGATACGACTTTTCAGGAACATATTTGGGGCAAAACCCAATTGCAAAAAAAAAAAAAAAATTCCAGTTCTTTGGCACCCCCGTTAAAATTTGGAGCAAAAGTGTCTGTCATTCTTTCTTTTTTTCCAGAATCATCACCTATCTTTACTGGCAGATCACAGAGGGAAGGAAGGTTATGATCAGGCTGCTCCATGAACAGATCATTAATGTAAGTCCTGTAGAGTCCCTCTGTCACCCTCTCCCTCTTCTTTCTAACACTTTATAATGGAAATTTCCAAAGATACCCTAAAATAGAGAGAAGAGCATAATGAATTACCATGGCTCCTGCACCCAGCCCCGATAACCATCGACATCTATGTACTCTGACTTTATCTACACCATTTCTTCTCTGAAGATCTCTATTATAGATTATTTTAAAGAAAATCTTAGACTTTATTCATTTTTTTATCAGTAAAAAACTTTTTTGGGGGTAAAGACTGCTTTGTTAGTGGCAGTTAGTACAAGTCAATAAATATTGATTCCCCAAAGAAGAGCTCAGTTATTTATATTCATATTACTGGTCCAAGAACTGACTGGAACTCAGCCACTCAATTGCTAGGATGACTGAAGTCATTCCGGCTTCTTTGGAAATGATGCCATAGCCAGCTGATATGGCATATGCAGTTCCACAAGCCACAGTGGTTCTATACAAGAGGGCATCAGCTACTGCACCCTGTAGACACACTGGATTTCCACTGGCCTCCCAAAGAGCTTTTGTTTCTGTGGAACATTCTTTTCAAAATGCCTGGGTGAAGCAGTGCTGGTGGCCTCTGGGCAATCTGTCAAAGAGCACACAGATTCTGCAGCATCTTGACCTTGTTACTGATCACCAGGAATGAAAGCCATCCCGGGCACTGGAACAAGAACTGGAACTGGAACCAGAACCGGAGTGACCTCCTGAGTAAAAACTTTTATATTCATATTTATGAGATAGAGACTTAAAATACCATCACACTGGGCCGGGGATTTAGCTCAGTGGTTTCACCACCTGCTGCACAAGCGCAAGGACCTGAGTTCGATCCCCGGTACCCCCCCAAAAATAAAAATAAAATAAAAAATAAACGTGAGAGATAAAATACCATCACACTTAAAAGAAAACTTACCAAGAATTTACTACTATCATGTGACCCAATCAATATTCAGATTTCTCCAGCTGTCCCAGTAAGCATCTTTTTACAGAAGAGTTGTTCGATTAGTGTCTGAAAAATGGCCACATATTGCTTTTCCTTGATATGCCTAATTTTCTTTTAATCTGTAACCATTCAGCACTCCTCACTTTTTCTTGCCTTCTTATTATGGAAGAACCCAGGTTTTATGTTTTCTATATTCTACGTGTACCTGATCTGCAACCCTCTGGTGCTGGTTCCTATGTTTCTTTTTTCCTTTATATTTCCTATAAATGAGTGGTAAAATCTAGAGATTTGACAGACCCAGATTCAACTGTTTAGACAAAATACAGATGCTCCTCGACTTACAGATGGGAACATGCCCCACAAACTCTTTGTAAATTGAGAGTGTTCCAGGTGGAAGATGCATTTGAGACACTTAACCTAATGAACATCCTAGCTTAGCAGTACTGTTCACTGCAGAGTGTGTTATTCACTGTTGTGACCACGAGCTGCAGCTTGACCTGACCATGAGATGTGGCTTGTTGCCGCTGCTCAGCATCACGACAGAGTATGTACTAAGTTTCATTAGCCTGGGAAAAGATCAAAGTTCAAAAATTAAAGCAGAGCTTCTACTGAATTTGTATGCCTTTCACTCTATGGTAAAGACAGAAAAATCTCAAGTTGAACTGTCTAAGTCTGGGACCAGTGTACTTCAGGTACAATAATTCTGTGCCTCTCTTCACACAGGTGATAATATGCCTCTATTCCACATCACCTTGAGATATATGATGTCTCTTCTGTGATGTTGACAGCAATCAGTGGTTCTAAGGACTATTAGCCTAATTCGTCCATCACAAAGCTTTCTGCAGCCTTTCCTCTATGGAGAGTCCAAAGTCTGTGCTCTTAACTACAATGCAGTTTTGTCTCCCCCAGTAAAAGTCTGTTGAGGGAAAGCATAGGAGTTTGCATTTTTACAAACCCACTAGGTAATTCTAATTCCCACTCCCCTCCTATAGACCAGAAATTTCCAAACAAGTTGGCTACATCCAAGACAGCTAGGCAGCTTGTTTTCTTTCGTTTTGTTTTTCAGTCCTGGGAGATTAAATCCAGGGCCTCTGCCCCAAGTCGCACCCCAGTTCTTTTTTGAGATAGAATCACACTAAGGTGCCAAGGTTGGGTTCGAACTTGCGATCCTCCTGCCTAACTCTCCGAGTGTGGGGATCACAGGTGTGTGTCACCAGACCCTAGGGGTATTCTGAAAAATCTCTATTCTCAGGGACAGCTCTTCCTTACAGAAGAATTCTGATTAATAAATGTAGAAGGGGGGGCTGGGGATTTAGCTCAGTGGTTTCGCCGCCTGCTGCGCAAGCGCAAGGACCCGAGTTCGATCCCTGGTACCAATAAATAAATAAATAAATAAATAAATGTAGACGGATTGGAGAGGCAGAAAATCATCTTGAAACAAACTGCATGGTGATAATTGTGAGAAGCAAGACCCACTGTTGGGTGGCGAAATTAAAGGGTAAAAGTGTAAGGAGAAACAGAGGCATGAGAACGGGATGAGCATCGTTGGCCTAAACTGGGAAGACCACTGACGGTGCTTGCTCACCCACTGCAGCACACAGGTGGAATAGTCTTCCCTTTTCTACTACAGGAAAGGGGTTACACCCACCCAGTGGGAAGGCAGACTCCTTTCCTTTGTCCCTCTTTCCAATTTTACTTTATTAATCTCCATCAACACAGATATGTTGACAAATGAAACCCATTTGATGTTCTTAGGGGCCAAGCTCTAAGATCTGGCATTTTTAGTAGGAGGACAGGGAAGAGTGAGGCAATCCTAGGTTTGCAGACCAGGCTTCTGGGGCAGGGAGCAGCCAAGAAGGGGGACACCAAAACGTTTGTCATAGGCCTTCAGACAGTGGCATGTAAGTTGCTTCTAGCAGCAGTCTAGGGCAGGCTACTGCCCAAGCCTGCTAGAGGAGTTCCTTTACAGGAGCCTGTTACAGTGCATGAGGGCTCGAGGCAGTTGTTAATGTTGCTGTCGTGCGTGTATGTGTGTGTGTCTTTTATCAATAGAAAACATGACAGCAAGCTCCATCCAACTTCTGGGTCCTTCTTTTTCCAATTGCTTCTTAATCCTCCACCACCATCCCTCCTTCATGTTTTTGTTTTGCTTTTCTTCTTGGCAGGAGGGCAAAGATAAGATGTTCCTGATAGAAAAGTTGACCAAACTGCAGGACATGGAGAAGAGGGCAAAGCCCAGCACACTTATTCTGGAAAGGAGAGAGACGGAGGTGAGATGTCGTTCTTAGGACCCTTGGGAATAGGGCTGTCTTCCTGTGCAAAGTGCATCAGGGAATTGGAGCTCGGTTCTTGGCATCACAAAATGGCCTCACTTTTTGTTGTGGCAGTGCTGATGATAAAAACCCAGGATCTTGCACGTGCTAGGCAAGCACTCTGGGGGTGCAGCCACTGAGCTGCATCCCCAGCCCACGTAAGCACCTATATATGTGTATTTGGGATGAGTCTCACTATGTTGCCCTGGTCTCAAATTCCGAGGTTCAAGTGATCCTGCCTCAGCTTCTTTTTTTTTTTTTTTGGTACTGGGGATCGAACTCGGGTCCTTGTGCTTGCACAGCAGGCGGTGAAACCACTGAGCTAAATTCCCGGCCCTCAGCTTTTTGACTATAGGCACACACCATCCCACCCAGACCCTTTTCTTTGTATGTTTAAGCATTCTGGTTTCTAAAAATTAAATAAGAATAATCGTTCTAGGTGCTGGGTTATTGTGAACAAAGCAAAGCCCCTGCCCTCATGGAGATACACATTTGTTTTACATAACCTACTAAAATATACAAGTACATTACACTGAGATGAAAAGTTCCCCCAAATCTCAGCCCACTATTCATGCTTCAGTGTATGTTCTTCCAGATCTTTCCCCCAGGTATCAGCAAACACACCTGTTAGTAGATACTAACATTTTCATTTATTACAAAAGTGGGGCTATAGGGCCGGGGATTTAGCTCAGTGGTTCTGCTGCATGCCTCGCAAGCGTAAGGTCCCGAGTTCGACCCCCGGTACCAAAAAAAAAAAAAGTGGGGCTATAGTTATATAAACAATGCCATACCCCCCTCCCCATACACACTCAACATTTTTTCAGTCATTGTTTTATTTTGGACATATTTTTTCATTCTGGACATTTGTGCTGTTTCCAGGTTTTTTAAGTATTAAAAACTGTAAACAATGAAGCATTTTTGTTACAGTAATATTTACTGCAGTGTTACTTGTATATGCTAAGCAAATGCTTTATCATAGAGCTATACTCCTGGCCCTTTTTGTTATTCTATGTGAGTATTTCTGCCCCCGGACAGTACACAGTAATGTTCATAGATGTTGCCATATCACGCTTAAAAAGATTTCACCAATTTCAGTCCAAGAGGGTATTAGAGATGCTTCAAAGCCTACTCTAATCCCAAAGTTCTCTTCCTTGGTGTCCCAGAAAATAAAGCTAAACAGGAAGCCAACCTTAATTTAAATACCACCAGTTTTAGAAGTTGTGATCTTGACAGTGTGATATACTATAGGTGCAAATTAATACTGTCAGCACAACTTAGGTAAGGTATCTAGAAGCCCAAGTCATATCCTCTGCGGTGAAGGACCATGCCTGTACCTTGTCACCCAGGTCCTAATGTATTACCTGGCATATTATAAATGTTCAGTAAGTATCTGTGGAATGACTGAGGGAAATAACACAAAACACACTTGATAGTTCAGGGTATGACGCGTTTGTCTTGTTACCCCTAATTTTAAAGTAATGGGAGGTTCACAAATTGTATGACCCATGCAACAAGACCCAGACTCTCCATTCTTTCCCAGTGATGTGGCTCCCTATTTTCCTTTTGTAGCAACAAGGCCCTCTGCATTTGGGGGAATGTGATGCTACTCCTGGTAAGTATCTCACTGACAGAATAAAACAGTACTGTATTTCCCCGAAAACACAACCAGGTCTTAAATTAAATAGGGCATGTATTCATGTACAATAATCTCCATTTATTTGTTCACGTACAAAAATCTACATTTATTCAAATAGTCATGTCGTCTAATTCTAGAACATTGTCATAACTCTCCAAACCCCGATATTCCAGCTTGAATTTCTTGCAACTCCATTTCCTGTAGAAATATTGGTCCCAAACTCTCATGTCCAGCAATGGAGCTGTCCTTAAATGAACACTTCGTGTTCACGTAGCCTGCTCCTAGTGCATCATGACAATTGAATTATGAAGATTCATATTAGACACAACCACATCTGTTCATTACCAAGTGTGCACATTATGTGTTGTGTCTGTACTCTGATTGGTCATTCAGGAATAAATCATCTGTTTACATAGACGTTTACCTCTCATCCAAACACACCTGCTTGGGTATTTACAAATAATTATAATTTATATTATCATTTAAGTCTTAATGTCAATAATACTATTTATATTATTTTATAATTCAAAACATCCATCATGTGTTTCAATGGACGTATTAAATGTGTCCATCTGGCTGATGATCTTAACCGGGACTTATTTTGGGAGTAAGGCTTATATTATGAGCAACCTGAAAAAAAGTCATGCTAGGCGTTATTTTCCATTTAGGTCTTATTTTGGGGGAAATGTGGTGCTTTATCCTGGGGCTATAGCCCAAAGCAGAGAGGATCAGAACTGCTTGTGTACCAAGTGGTCCTTCAGTTGCAAACCTGATGCGAAATAGCTTAAGTAAAAATCCAAGAATGATTTTTGCCTTAGGACTGACCTAAGGCAGGCAGGCGTTCAGTGTCACCACAACCTTGTTTCTCTGTTCAGTTCGTTTCCATGTTAGTTCCTCTGCAAACAGTCGTTCCTAATCATGGCAAAACAGCTTTACCATTCCCATGCCATCTCAGGTTCAGGTTATTGAAAAAGGGCAGGCGACCTAGAGTTTTCAGGGTTTCACTGGATGTGATGGGGCAAGGTGCTCATCCATGGACTGACTGATTGGCATGGCTGTAAAAATGTGTCCATTTCCTTGGTCATGTCTGAATCACGTGTCTCAGCTACAGGTATGGGGCAGGGCCACCTTACAGACCACAGAGGTGAAGAGTAGGGGAAGGTGCATTCCTAAGGGTAATCTGGGGCTGATGCCGGTAGGGGACTGAATGCTGGGGAGGAAGCAAACCAGCTCAGTAGTCTTTTGGGACAGCATTTACTCATGGCATCCAGTGGTGGGAGTTCAGGGCAAAGAAGGCACGAGAAGCTGCCAGGCCTTTAAGGCCCAGGCTTTCCCTCCTAGAGATGGGGCAGTGTGTGTCTGCATTAACTCCTCTTTCCTGTGTCAAACCCAGACCTGCGATTTAGGCGCTCAGTTCAAGAAGATAACTTAAAGGCCTGATGACTATTGCGGTAGGCAGACACCAAGCCCACAAGAAAAGAAGATGAAAATGGGAAAGATTCTTCCGTAACTGGGCCTTGAGGAGTTTTCGGAAGAATCCAAGCCTTTCGCTGGGAGGGGAACATTAACCCACAATGTCAATGCCAAGGAAAATCGGGCATCATCTGTTATCTTTCAAGCCTGGATTGCTGATTTTTCAAGACAATATACTTGGGATTTTCCAGTAAACTGTTGGAATAGATTTTCCTTCAGAGAATGTGGAAAGATGTAACTTGAAACTGATGTACTTGATCTTCAAGAAATGTGTGTCTGAATTATTGGACCGTAGGAATCTCTCTTCCCAGACCTGGCAAAGGTTTAGAAACTGGCGCTGTGATAAGTGGTCCAGAATGAATAAAAACATGAACCTTAATCAGGCATGCAAATCCTCCGAGTTGTGCAACGTGCATTTGTTTGTGACTCTGAACTAAAAACATCTTCATGTCACCCACAAATGAGATAGACTCAGAGGTCTTGTCTCCTTATTGCATATGAAGTACAGGGGTCTTTGGGTTAAACCAGGATGGGACTGTCCCTGTGAAGTTTCATACATATAACCGTCAATGAAGTCTTATGCTGAACCAAACATGAAGCCCGTGGTGATGTGTGCATATGAAATGAATGTGTATAATTTTTTTGAAGAACTGCCAAATGATTCACAAAGTCCGTTACTGTTGTTAAAACTAACAGGTCCACTGATATTTTTAACCCTGTAGTAAACCTTTCAAGGAAGTGCTTATCATACTTATTGATACTTCCCTTTTTCATTCAAATTCTTTACCTAAGTCCTTATTTGGGCCTAGCTGAGTCAGGGCAAAGTAGGCTTGGGATGGAGGTCAATAGGCAGAGAACTCCTGGCTCACCAGAGGCTTTCCCACAAGAGAAGGGCTCTTACTAACTCTGCTGTCCCCAAGGGCCATCCTGGGCTGTCATGTGCTATGCAGTCTCGGGAAAGACCCAAAGATAAATTCAGTCCGCAGATGTTTTCCTTGGTTACTTTTTCCTGCTTGTCACTTTAGTCACAATATAGCATAGAAGTACATGCATGGACATTTGTTCCACTTACTTTATAAATTTAATTTTAAGATTCAAGAAAATCTCTTTGGGGGCTAAGGGTGCAGCTCATGTGATACATGTTGCTTAGAATGAGTAAGGCTCTGGGTTCAATACCTAGCACCAAAAAACAGCTGAGAACATTTCTTTGTAAACACTGATTAGAAAATATCCCAAGCTATATCTATCATGCCCCAGCCAACACCTACAGTAACAAAAAGCAGCGTGCGTCTCCGCCGCCTGGTTACATGAAATGGTCTTCCAAAGCTCCCCCTGCCTGGCTGCTGCAGGGGTGAACCTGACGAGCCATCTGAGGGACGCAGGGGGGAAGCCAGGGCTAAATATGGGCCTGTAATGAAGACCACAGACAGGGCTAACTAGAGGAGGCAGACAGATCTGCCATTTTAAAATATTTCATTCTAAACACTGCTACTTAAGTGCACAGTAGAAGCCTTGGATGATCATGTGGGAAGGAGCAGAGATATGGTGCGTGGTGAACAGTAGCTCTGAGCTAGGCCCAGGCGGATTTGAGCCCCAACTATACTATGGACTCTGAGAGCCCAGGTAAGTGACTTTAACTCTGCAGAGCCTTAGTTTCCTCATCAGGTTGAATAAGATCATGCTAAACCCTGTGTAGCTCCTGGCTTGCAGCAAACAAGTTAATGAGATCAAGCCCTGCTCCATCACCACCTGTGTGGTTTTGGAGGTTGCCCCTCTTTATCCACAAGTTCTAGTAGTCTCATCTGTAACATGAGGCTGAGAAGTTCTTGGGAGTTTCTTCCAGTTCTGTCTACAATGCTGTGCTGTAAAGCTTCCTAATAAACCACAAGTGCAACTCTGCCCCCTGGTGGTTTGTGGCTCTTATGTCAAGTAAATAATCCCTCAGCTTGGTCCCAACACCTCCCTCCCTGTGGTTGCTGCACACCCAGGCCTCACTTAGGGAGGATGGAGCTTGGTACATTTTCCTTTCACATTCCTTTTAATGATTTTATTAGTGTGCTCACAAGTTTGACATCTACAGGACACTGTTAACAGACCTGAATACAAATATTTGAAATAGGTACATTGGTTAAGTATGGCAAGTTTTAAAATGTCAACCCCAAGTGATCATGCGAGTCCCATGCATTTGCATCTGCATCCCCCAAGTGCACAACCCACTCTGTGCTTATCCTCACCGGGTCTTGGTGTCGCCTTGGCTGAGCAGGCGGGGGCTGGTGTGCCTTTTTCAGACCCAGACTTTCAAGAGCGACAGTGAGGAACTCAGGCATTCCATGGAGTCTGGCAGCAACACCTGCTTTTGGTTTACTCAGATAAGAATGCAATTACTGGCTAGTGCTTGTGTGACCCACTGAGCCCCCAGGGCTGGACTAGCACAAAGAGTACTTTGATATCCCTGTATGAGGCCAAAGGGCAGTTTCTGAACCTGTGTTTCCTCCCCAGGGTGAAAGGCTAGAAATGAGGTTCACAGTCCTCCAACATGCTGTCCGTGATGTAGCTGGAACCAAGATGGGATTCATAGTAACTTTTCTCCTCCAAGGTATTGACGGTCCACCCAACAACGTGGACTCCTTTAGCTGACCACTTCTTCAAATAGTCCCTGGAGAAAAGGAAAAGCCAACACTGTTAGAACAATGGCTAACAACACATTGGAGCCCCGACTCAACCTAGAGTCTACACTGGTTGCTGGGTTTGGTGTGCCCTGAGTGCCAGGGGCGCCCAGAGCCGGCCCACCCTGCAGTCAAGGTGTGTTTCAAGCCAGCCACCCGGAGGCCTCCCACTGTCCCCAGTGGCTCACTAATGACCACCCCTCCCTAATGTCCAACACAGCCTCTCACACCATTCTACCCCTTTCTTGTCAGTCTGACAGAATACCGATTCTCTTTCAGTTCCTTGTGAGGACTGTTCTCCTTTGGCCACAACACTTTGCTGGTGTTTTCCCCTCCTCTGCTGCCCACACCCTTCATATCTGAGCTTCATGAGGACACACCCCAAGTTAAAAGTTTTCTCTTACTTTTCCCATTCTCAATTTATGAGATAACTTTGTTTTCTCCCTGTACCCTACTCCATATCTTAATGGCTAACTGTAGAAGTAGCTCTGACGCACTGTTTTGATATAGGAAGAGTCACCATTAAAAGGTAGTTGTTGCTGGGCATCCTGGCACATGCCTATAATCCCAACACTCTGGGAAGCTGAGGCAACTCAGTGATTTGGCAGGACCTTGTCTTGGGAAGAAAAAAAAAAAAAGGCTGGGGGCTGAGGATATAGCTAAGTGTACAGGACCTGGGTTCAATCCCCAGTACTGCAGGGTGGGGGAAGGTAGTTGTCAAAAAACATATAAATCAGAGGAAGCTCCCCCGCTTCCATCCCAGGCTCCTAGGTCAGTGAAGCTCAGCCAGTCCCACCACCCAGAAGGAAGCTCCCCGCCTCCATCCCAGGCTCCTAGGGCAGAGAAGGTGAGC